AAGTAAAATTGAAGAGTAAAGGCAAAAAAGAGTAATTTAGTTGATTTTGTCTCATTTAAGCCATAGAGTGTAAATACTATGACATCAGATGAATTCCCCACTGTGGATGTCATTTTAAAATTTACTTGGCCACAAAAATGTATGCTGAATCTTTAGCTCAGTGCCTTAAAATAGTCTACTCAGTGTGTTTCCAAAGCAGAGCAGTGATGGGATTTGGTCTTGGGCCTCAAACACAAATTTGCAAATAACACATCCAAAAAGAGACCTGCTCTGGAAAAGAGCAAAGAGTATTTTTTCCTTGTTGAGTGATCTAGACTCATCTTCATGTCTTCCTAGCAGATGACACTGTAATGGCTCCAGCTTAGTGCCAGATTTGTCACAGATTCATTTTCACCATTTAAAAAAAGGTTGACTGAGTGTGCAGAAAATCCCATTGGTCATCAAAATTTTAAAAGTAATGGAGGCCATTTTCCTAATTATTTTAACCTTATAAATATTTCATCATGTCTGTTGAAATAGAAACTTTAATTCTCAGTAAGAGCAGGGTGTTGCTGCAGGAAGAGCATGGAGCTTTTTCTGTCAAACAGAGCTTCTTTATTGCTTTATACTGTATATCTTCTGCAGGTGGGAAGCTTTAGAGAATTGAAGCCTGGTAAATAGTCCTGGGAGACCTTTGGCACTGCTGTTCTTGTTTAATGAGCTTGTGAACAATTAAGGGCAACATTATGGATAAGAGAGGCCGGGATCATATTTTGAACCATGTCTTTGATATACAGGTATAAAAATACATAGTATGTTTGTAGTAAAGAAATGTGCCAAATTAATATTGATTGATTCCTTTTTAATTTCAAATTAACCAGAACATTGCCAAATATAAAGGAATGAAGAGAACTACTATTAAAGTATATTCATTACGTGAATATTTTAAAACTTCAGTTTCACGTTTTTTCATTTTGAATGTCTACACGATTAAACTTGAGAATGGCTGGAGATGAGAAGCCATTTGACCCATCATCCTCATTTCACTGTAATTTAGGCAGAAGGAAAAAGTAATGGTCCTACTTAGGAAAAACCTTCCAGAAAAACACAATTTAGAGTAGGGAATCAAGCCTTAACGCATGACTGGGTGGCAAATGCAGAGATTACTTATAGACTCCACACAAACAGGTGCTCAGGGCTAAACTGTATCCTAAGTTGCTGGTGCTCAGAGTCAGAAGTGCTAAAAAGAAATTGATATTACCATACCCTACATTTAGCTAGGTTATAGTGAAACTTGAAGTCACGTCAGTGGGGTCAGAGTGCACTGGAATAATCCGTGTTTAAACTGGACAGGTAATGGCTGGTGCTGTACAGTACATCAGAGGTTTTGATGTTTGCACAGTGGCACTTTTTGTTGAGTGTACGGTATTGTTCTCCACTGTTGCTGTAGTCCAGGAATTGCATCATACTGAAGTTGACAAAATCTCCCTTGTATGACGCACCCCCGATAGTGAATGTGCCCCCCAAGAAATAGGCAAAAGTGTTAAGCTGATATAGGCCATGCTGATATGTTTGCAATTATATTTTGTAATTCAGAGTTATATGGAAAATGAATATGCCTAGTAAAGAGGTAACAGACAAAGCCCATTGTTACTTCAGGAAGGACATTGAATTTCTATCCAACTTGTCTACTGAATGTGGAAAGCAGAAAATACAGTCAGATAAAAATATGGTTGAGAATTTTCATACTTATGCTGTAATGCCTTAAGTCTTGTAAGAATTTAAGCTCAAGGGGTCTTGAAGATTTTGGCTTTAGTCATTTTCTCTTGGGTAAGCTAGTAATGAATACCATTAGACTGAATGAGGTGCATTATGTGTACAGTACTTTATTTGCTTATGCATAAAAGCAGGGTTTAGTCTACTTAAGTATTTATGTACAGTATAAAGGAAATGTGACATATTTAATTTGCTGCTGTGATATATAATTAAGGGGAAACAACTATATAAGATAATTGTGCTTATTAAAATGTATATTATATATTATAATGTTTATTCTCCTAAGTGAAAAGGAGATTACATTTAATTTTTTTGTATCATACTGGCTTGTGTTTGGTGAAGACTGACACACTGCCAAATTTTATCCAGAATTGATTGCCCAATGTGGAAAAAAACACGAAATTAATGAGTAAATACTGTAGTGAACAGGAAAACCTCAAACAGTCACAATACCAGCATTCCCTGGTTTATTTTGTTATTGGTGAACATTAAAAGCCACATGAGAAAAACAGTATGGATTTATTTTTACATGAAATATGGTATTTTTAAACCATAGTTTACAGAAATTATGTTAGTGTGAGAGTCCTTGACTTTAGTCATGCTCTCAAATAAATTAAATAGTTTGGCGTGTACCTAGACAGATGTGTAATGTGCAATTATCACTACACTAATTAATATTGTGGTAGGATAAGAAGTGTAGGTTTTTCTGACAACCCAGAATGTATAAATTAAAGAAAAACGTGAGATAGCTTGTTTGTAATACAATCCTAACACAAAAATATTAAACCAATGTAATCCACTGTATATCTCCTCCTGTCTATAACACAGAGTTATCAGTTTTCCTATGAATTGATTAGCTTTGGAAGACACACACTCTGGCTCAGCCTCACAGTTCTTAATCTGACTCACCTTGGGAATTTCAAGCCTGACCAATGTGATAGGTACAATAAAAAAAAAAAAACATTTTTTAATAAATACAGTAGTACCAAAAGAAATGTATGTATCTTATAAGCATTAGGTGTACGGTTTTATACTTTTGTTACACAATTTCAAAAGTGTTCTACGAATCTGAGTGAGATTTAATCCATATATGAGGGGATTTAGAAGAGGAGGGATGACTAGAAACTCCACTGCCATGATATTGCGAAGAGCCTGTGGTGCATTTCTAGCTCCATATCTAGTGTACATTGCATCAAAGAGGAATGTAGCCATGAAACTGATTAATGAGATCAAATGAGGCATACATGTCTGCATAAATTTACTCCTTCCTTCACTAGACTTAAAACAAGCTATGATAATCAAGATATAAGAATATACAATAAAAAAGAATTGTAGAGTATATTTTAACATTAGCACATATCCAGACAAATTGTTGAGAGTTGTGTCCACACAAGACAATTTCACAACTGCCCAGTTTTCACAGTAGAGCTTGTCAATGTGAGACCCACATAGAGGCAGTCGGATCATTAACACAGCTGGAATGATCATATCAGAAAAAGGAAGGAGCCAAGAAATCAATAGAAATTTGAAAACTCTCAGAGGAGTCATGACAGCATGGTATTCTAAGGGTTTGCAAATCGCCACATACCTGTCATAGGCCATCACTGTCAAGGTGGTAAATTCACAGAAGAGAAAAGAATAGATCACAACGATTTGAGTGATACAAGCAATGTAGGAGATCACATGAGTATCAGAGAGAAAGTCACTCAAAAGTTTAGGATACAAACCAGCAGTTCCATAGAGTGAGTTCACACTCAGGTTACAGATGAAGATGTACATGGGATCATGGAGGGATTTCTCCAGGAGGATTGTTGCAACTAGAGTTAGATTTAAAAAAATGACCAGTAAGTAAAATTGAAGAGTAAAGGCAAAAAAGAGTAATTTAGTTGATTTTGTCTCATTTAAGCCATAGAGTGTAAATACTATGACATCAGATGAATTCCCCACTGTTGATGCCATTTTTAAACTTGCCTGTCCACAATAGGTAATATTGGATTTTTAGATCAGTGCTTTAAAATGTTTAAAATGCTACAGTAGCCACAGAGAGTTTTTCCAGAACCACATAACACATCCGAAAAGAGTCTTGCTCTAAAAAAAATAGTGTTTTTTCCCCTGTTACATGGTCCAGATTCATCGTCGTGTCTTCCTAGCAGATGGTAGTATAATGACTCCAGCTCAGTGCCAGATGTATCACAGTTTCTGTTTCACATATCAGAATGTTTTAGTTTTTGAAACAAACAAAAAAACTGCTACATGTATAGAAACTCTCCAATGCAGCTGCTTAGGTAAATGAGTCAAAAGTAATGTAGTTATTTCCCCTGATTATTTAAGGCTTATAAAGAATTCATCATGTCGTTTGAAATAGAAACTTCTCAGTAAAAGCAGGGTGATGTTGCAGAAAGAGAATGAAGCTTTGTTTTTCAACTGGAGCTGCTTTACTGCTTTATACAGTATATCTCCTGCAGGAAGAAGGCTTCAGAGAATTGCAGCCTATAAATGGTCCTGGGAGATTTTCGCTGTTCTTGTTTAATGAGCTTGTGAACAATTATGGGCAACATTATGATTAAGACAAGCTGGGATCATATTTTTAACTATGTCTTTGATATACAGTGCCTATAAAAAGTATTCAACCCCCTTGGACTTTTTCACATTTTATTGTCTTACAGCATGGAAACATGATGTATTTAACTGAGAATTTTTGCCACTCATCAACACAAAGTACTCTATAATGTCAAAGTGAAACAAAATCCAGACATTTAACTAAATTAATTTAGTAAACTTTCTTTTAATTTAGTAAACAATTGACTTTCTTTCAGGATATTACAAGCATTGTACATTAAAAGTACATCTCTTCCAAAGCCTATTCAATATATAACAAAAATTGTTGTTAAAATTATTACTTTTTTATTACAGATGGGACTTAATTTTTCTGTTACACAACCTGAAAACTGTTCTGCGAATCTGTGTGAGATTTAAGGCATATATGAGAGGATTTAGAAGAGGAGGGATGACTAAAAACTCCACTGCCATGATATTTCGAATAGTCTGTGGTATGTTTCTGGATCCGTAACGTGTGTGCATTGCATCAAAGAGCATGGTAACCGTGAAACTGATTAATGTGATCAAATGTGGCAAACAGGTCTGCATAAACTTACGTCTGCCTTCGCTAGACTTCAAACATGCTCTGATAATCAGTATATAGGAATATAAAATAAATATAAATTTTACAACATATTTAAGAAATAGAATATACCCAAGCACATTGTTTAGGGTTGTATCTACACAAGACAGCTTGACAACCGCCCAGTTTTCACAGTAGAGTTTGTCAATGTGAGAGCCACATAAAGGCAACCTGATAGCTAACAAAATGGGAATCAATGTTTCACAGAAAGGAAAAATCCAAGAAATCATCAAAAATGTGATAACTGTTTTAGGCGTCATGACATAATGGTACTCTAAGGGTCTGCATATTGCCACATACCTGTCATAGGCCATCACTGTTAAGATGGTAAATTCACAGAAAACAAAAGAGTAGATCACAAAAATTTGAATAATACATGCAGAATAGGAGATCACATGAGTATCTGAGAGAAAGTCAGCCAGGAGTTTTGGATACAATCCAGCAGTTCCATACAGTGCATTAACACTCAAGTTACAGATGAAGATGTACATGGGCTCATGGAGGGATTTCTCCAGGAAGATTGTAGCAATCAGTGTCAGATTTAAGAATATGATGAATAGGTAAAAAATTAGAGTGAAGGAAAAAAACATATTTTTATCTGATTTTGTCTCATTTAATCCATTGAGAGTGAATAGTGTGATGGATGGATCCTCCATTGTTGTTACAAGTTTAATACTTTTCAAAAATATTTTATCACAGGTTAAACCTTTAATTTGCAGCAATGAAATTAGGGACCTTAATAACTTTCCAGAACATAAAAACCTCTACCGGGATTTGGTCTTTTGCCCCTAGCAGCACAAATTATATCAGAAAAATATCCGACTCAAAATCACAGATCGGTGTTTTTTTCCTGTTGCTAGATTCTTCTCCACATGTTGCCTGATGACACTGTACTGTACTTGCTTCCTTGATGTCCTGTCCTGATAAATAATAATCTTCATCTTACAAAGCACTGCCAAAGACACATTATTTTTAAGGTTTATTACAATAAACAAAACAAAATCAGGTTTACACAAATGAGCAAACTAAATCAAACAGGGTTAAAATTTAGACTGTAAAAGTGTGTCTGTCTGGAGCTTGGAAGTGACTGCTTGGGATGGAAGCTTCTCCTCCCCAGCTAAAGGACATTACTGTACATTGTTGAAAAAGCATACAGAAATGTATGTGGGAAGTTTCAAATGTATTTCTTCAGTTGAAAGCAAGGCTTTGTCTCATTAAAATTGTATTATTATTATTATGCAAAGGAACAGGTAATGGGTTTATTCCCTGCTGAAAAGAAAAGAAAGGAAACACAATGTTTCAGCTGTGGAGCCTTCTTCAGGTGTGAGCTCACACATGGAATAATCCCGCTCCCTGTTCTTTTGCAGACTACACATGCTGACGCACCTCCGTACTTGAACTTATTACCATTTCAACAAACAAATAAAAGCAATGAAATATCTTTATACTAATTACCTCTCAGGTGCTGCTGCAGGAAGAGCATGAAGCTGTTTTCCAATCTGAGGTAATTTACTTAGCTTTATACATGTACAGTATCTCTCCTACAGGAGAGAGGCTTTAGAGAATTCATGTTTGAAAACAGCCCTGAGAGACCCGTGTCACTGCATTATTTGTTTAATGAGACAAGGAATACTTGCAGAAAGCAAGGTCCTTAAATGAAGCAAAGATTCTTTCTAAACAAGGTATATGTCTTTCACCTCTGTAAATTACTGGTAAATATTTGTATAAAAACAGTGAGTCTATAAAGATTAACAGTTAGGTCTGAAGCAATACTTTAAATGCAGAACATTGCATTTACTGATTAATTTGCAAAGTCTATAGTTTGTAGATTAATTATTGGTTTATTTTAGTTAGTATCACCTGGTTGCCAAAATTACACAACATCAGCATTTTTAGAGAGGAGAGGAGATCATTTGGCCCAGTACACTCATTTCATTCTCTTCTAGGCACCCCCACTGATAACTGATGTGTGGTGAGTTTTCTGACACATTATGGCTGCCGTCGCATCATCCAGGTGGATGTTGCACATTGGTGATGGTGGAGGGGATCCCAATTACCTGTAAAGCACTTTTTACCAGAAAAGCGCTATATAAGTGTAAGCAATTATTATTATTATTAACTGCACACGCTCAGGCATCCTATTTCAAAACCCAACTCAAGTTCTGCATCTGGGTGGTAGCAATGCTAATTATGCATTTTACAACAATTGTGAATTTTAGAAACAAAGCTAAGAGATTTCACTCATTTTGCCAATTTCAGTTTTTAGCTTCCAAGTATCTTTTCCATCTGTTTCTTGATCCTTTAGTAATCTTCTGTTAAGCTAGTCCTACTGTACGTTGTCTGGGAGCCTCTGACTCCCGAGCCCTCTACTAGTTTGCAGACTCGTTTCCCCTCTCTCAGCCTCTATAAATAGGGATCTCTTTCCTTTGCCTGCTCTCTCTCGCCTAACTCCCAAGTTCAGCCATTGCAGCCATTATTTTCTCTCCACCTCTTTGTCTCCGACATGCCACTCTTCTCTCAGTGACTCTCTCTGCACGCTCATGTACCAGAAAAGGATAGTTAAACTAGTGAGTCTCCTACCTCTCTTAATACACTGCCACCTGTGAAAGGGGAAACCAGGGATTATCACTACAGTACTTGTGCATTTATAGCTGTGAGCCTTTTTGGATAGCCTCTATTAGTTTTATACATTGGTATAGTCTCATCTTCACCCATTCTACCATAATAGAAATGTAAATTCATACAAAATGTGATATATTTCAAGATATTGTGCTTAAATATTTGAGATTTAAAAATCATAGAATAAATTTCATTTTTTAAACAAACAAACAATAAGCAAACAATACATTTAATAGAAGGAAACATACTGTACCATGAAGCAAAATGAAGCAGAATGCAGAATTATGTAATTATTAATTAGCAGAAGTGGGGGGGAAATTCGCCAAAACCCAATGGTGACTAAGACCTGAGGATTCAGAGATGCTCAAACAGTATTTAATATTTGATAATCAATTAAGAGCTTTTATTTTTCTATTACACAATTTGAAAACTGTTCTGCGGATCTGAGTGAGATTTAAGCCATAAATTAGGGGATTCAGAAGAGGAGGGATGACTAGAAACTCCACTGCCATGATATTACGAAGAATCTGTGGTGTGTTCCTGGATCCATAACGAGTGTACATCACATCAAAGAGCATAGTGACAAGAAAGCTGATTAATGTGATCAAATGAGGAAGGCAGGTCTGCATAAACTTTTTTCTGCTTTCATTAGACATTAAACATGTTCTTATAATCAAGATATAGGAAAATATAACAAAAAGGGATTGTACAGTATATTTAAGAATTAAAATATATCCATACAGATTATTAAGAGTTGTGTCTACACAAGACAGTTTGACAACTGACCAGTTTTCACAGTAGAACTTGTCAATGTGAGACCCACATAAAGGTAGTCTAAGAGTTAACAAAACTGCAATCATCATTTCAAAGAGGGGGAAAAGCCAGGAAAACATTAGAAATTTGACAACAGTTAAAGGAGTCATGACAGCATGGTATTCTAGTGGTCTACATATTGCAATGTATCTGTCAAAGGCCATCATTGTTAAGATAGTAAATTCACAGAACACAAAAGAGTAGATCACAAATAATTGAGTGATACAAGCAGTATAGGAGATTACATGAGTGTCAGAAAGAAAGTCATTTAGGAGTTTAGGATACAGTCCAGCAGATCCATATAGTGCGTTAATACACAAATTACAAATGAAGATATACATGGGCTCATGGAGGGATTTCTCCAGAAGGACTGCAGCAATTAGAATCAGATTAAAAAATATAATGAACAGGTAAAAAAGAACAGTAAAGGTGAAAAAAATGGATTTATTTGTTCTTGTATCATTTAATCCATGAAGAGTAAATACTGTTACATCAGAAGAGTTCATCGTTTCTAGCAGTTTAAAAATGAACCTTGTGTATACTGCTTTGGGATAGAGACCTGAACGATTTCTAAGACTTAGACACTGAAAAACTGCAATTTAGGCAGTCCAAGCATCACAAGTTACATGTTCAAAATGTGACTCAGATTGATGAAGATTGACAGTGTTTTTAACCTGTTGCACAGTCTTCACATGTACCATATCTTCAGGTGCACATGCAGATGACACACGTATAACCTGTTAGAGAATAAGATAAGAAGCATTATATAGTGCTGTTCATAATAAATCATCTCAAGGTGCTTCTCAACAAAATAATAGAACAAAATGATTTATATTTTAATACATGATTGTCATGGATGTTGGAAAGGCATGTCGTGGAATGACCAGGGGAGCAGTAAGGACCCTATGTGTAGCGGCAAAAAGGGACAAACACCAAAGTTAGCCCCAGCTCAGGGGGTCAGGCGATGTCGGGGCAGAAACCTATGCCTTCAGGCCACGTACTGTACGTGGGGCGACCCGGTAGTAGGCAGGTCTCACGACATCCGTACCCTAATGCTCAGCCAGCAACACTGGAGACACAGGGACTAAATAGGAACTGGACACAAGACAGACTGGAAGGACATGAATAAAAACACGGAATTTGGAACAGGAAAAAAGTGGAGCGCCCTCTAGGGGTAGGTTGAGGACCGTGACAATGATTCAATGATTAGAAAATCTGAATTACTGGACCTAATACAGATGTGAGATTAGTGCTAGATTGATAGGCAAATTATCGTGAAAGAGACACATAGGAATGTGAATAAGTTCCTAAGGGTAACCAAGCCACCACTGATATACTTACATGGAAACAGAAAAGAAAAACTGAATATAATTAAACTTTCAAATGCATTAAGCCTCTAACAATAATGCAGACCTTGATTTATTAGTATTATAAATAGAGGGATGAAATATCAATAGTCTCATTACCTCAGGTGATGTTGCAGGAAGAGCATGAAGATGTTTTCCACTCTGAGCTACTTTACTCAGTTTTATACAGGGTATGTCTCCCGTAGGAGAGAGGTCTGCTGTCTGAAAACAGTCCTGGGAGCCTTGAGTCACAGCACTATTTGTTTAATGAGACTGAGAATAATTAGGTTAAGCCAGACATTCGAAAGAAGCCCAGATCATTTTTTAAATAACAAGACCTCATAGGTTCATATTTCATTAAGCACAAGTGTTACTTGAACAATTAGCAAAAATGCAAAAAGATATCATTTCAGGATTGTTGGGAATTGGAACCTAGTGTTCCAAGAAATCCTCGTGCCACCTGACCCACTCTAAGTATCCTAATAATATACAGTACATATAGTAACACAATATAACATTATTGAATAAAAGTAGGTATTGGGTAAAATAGAAGTACTGTATTAAAAGTACTGTAGATATTGTGCTTCAAACTAATTCTAATTCTAATTCTAATTATATGCATGTCCTGTTAAAAAGATATGGCTTTTTAGAAGTGACATCAACTTCATTGAATTCTGAGGGAAGAAAATGAGACAAACAATAGATACTGAAGTTATTCAGATGTGACCTGTGAATGAGTGGAACTATGAACTCAGAATGGAATTATGTTTATTTGGTTTACTTAAAGCATACTATAAAAACGACCTGTCCTATATATGAAGAATTTGTGTTTCTTACGTTGCGATGGGACTTCAAATATGTGACTTTGAATGTAAACCTCATATGAATAAAACAATTTCAAAATATTTTGTTATGTGTCATACTTGTTTTTCCTAACCTGACTTCATAAGATCTTCATATGTAATTTCATTTTATCCAAAAGGAAACCAACACATTTTACATATACAGTATGACCCTCTTCAATCCACAAGTAAAGTGCAATTTGGGTGACACACAGCAGCCCCAATATATTCTGATGTTATGAAAAACAGCTTCAGGAGTGAATTCAAGTGATCTGATTTGTGTACTGTATGTAAAATATATCATTTTCCAGGACACCAGGATTAACATTCCTGATCTTTTGTACGGATTGTCAAGGAAGGGTTGGTCTCCCATGGAGGATGGTGTTTAGACCCTATGTGAATCTGGAAAAAGGACCATAGACAGCGTTCAGGGAAGACACACAGGGTTTATTGGTGCTCATTGTGAAGTAGGGAAGTTCGTGCTGAAGTGCGGGGAAACTCCGAAGGAAAACATATCCAGGGACGTTCATGAAGTCAGGAAGCAGTCCATAAGTCCCTTGCTGGGAGACCCATCAGGATGAATGGGATCACATATGAGGCAAAAATCCAGGCCCTGGGCTCAGTGGGTCGTGGAGCGTAAACAGGCCTGTGCCCTCAGGCTTCCTCCCAAAGGCTGGTTGCAGGCAGGCCATCGGGCTACCGAGTACCAAAGCTGAGCCCCGAAGGCAGGAAGGAGTAAACTTAAATAGGGGAGTTAAAACAAGGCACACCAGGAAATAATGCAGGTAATAGCTAAGACTAACATGAGGAGGTTGGAGCGCCCTCTGTAGGAGAGGATGGTGACCATAACAGTACCCCCTCCTATAAGGGCAGACTCTGGAAACAAAGGTGACTATATAAACCACGGACAAATAAAAGCCAAGCCTATATACAAGTAGGAAAGATTACTATATACAATGACTATTTACAACAGGAAAGTCACCAAAAAAACATGAATATATATACAGGATGGGCAGTCCTTTCTTTGAAAAAAAAAATCCCAGGAAAGAGAAAAATAAAAAAAATCCAAAACACGCAGACTTTCCAAATCAAAACAATAAGGGTCCAGATGCCAAAAAAAAAAGAGAAAAAAAAACCCTGATGCTTTCTGTCAGGGGAGCCGGTCCTGACGCCCGTGTACTTTGTTGTAAAGATTCCATGACGGTATAATCCGGAAGTGTCTGGGGAAGCACAACAGGGAAGAGACAGCAAGGTCAGGTCGGGTCGACAGACAGGGGGCAGTGACGGTGGTGATCCGGAGCACAGGGAAAGGCTGAGGCGACAAATCCAAGGGAGGTCCAATGTGGTAGTCTGGGCGCAGTCCAATGTCCATTGCTGGGTGGTCCATCCGAGACTAACACAGGAACAAGGAAGCAGGAACACGGAAGGGTAAGACCATAATGGAGCAGGGTGCTCTGAGCCCTGGGCTCAGAGGTCAGGATGCCGTGATGAAGCCTAAACCCTCGGGCCACTCCTGGACCCAGTGGTAGTCCGGCTTCTGGGCGTCTGTCTTCCAAAGCTGAGCCGTGAGCTAAGGAGACGCCAGACTTAAATAATAAGGGCGGAAGAGGGGACAGGTGCGAGTAATGACAAATAATACAAGAAAGGTGGGAGCGCCCTCTAGAGGAGGGATGACGATCGTGACACAGATGAGCAATCTAATGCAGAATTGTACTATTCTGTAAGACTGCCAGGTGGAGGGGTGAATTCTTAAAGTACACAAGGCTGCATGTGGTTATAAGACAAATTGGAACAATATTAAATATTTGTTAACCCATTAGTGCTTTCCTGCACTACTCATACTGTACACATACTGTATTAGTGACAAACAATTTCATTAAATACAATGATTACATTGTTGAAACAGGATGTTATTACCACATTGCTACTACAACTCCTAATGAGATATCAGAATACTATATAACTGTAATAGAATTATCATTTTTAATTAGATACACTAGTATATAGAATTATTAGAAATAGTGTATAAATATATTATTAATAAAAAAAGATAATTTTATTTTAGATTTCAATCAATATAAAAATTATAAACTTATATTTTACATTGTAGCTTCAAAAACATAGTATTTATAACCAAATAAACTCATTAAAAATAAAAAAAGGCTAGATTAAAATAAAAGTTTTGAGCAGCGATTTTAATTACTTTATTGCATACTGTAAGTTGCAAGAGCAGTGGTAATAGCTGGTATATGATATATGTGGGTATTACTACACAGAATTATTTAATGTGTGTGGGATGTCAGGAAATGTAGTTTTTTGTCCATGTATTTGGGTCATGCACCATTTGTATTGAGGACAAATTAAACTGAGAAGAACATAATCCTTTTAGAAATTCATCAGATATTTACAGTGCATTGTAAGGACTAAAATAGCTGCTTGGTCAGCTGGAGAGAAACCAATTACACCTTTTAAACACTGACATTTCTCCTGGTGACTGTCTATGTGGTATTTATGAGTTTCGCCTATTCTCCCTCCAACCTCCTTACTCCTCAATATGAGTGTGTGTGCTGTGCTCCAAATCAGGACACTCTGCTGGCCTTTTAAATCCAGTTCATTCCATGCAATGCATTATAGATATCTGATTAATTTTAATAAAAAAATGTGTTCTTTTCAGTTTAATATCTCATACATGTTCATTTAATATCTGATAGAAATCCATAAGTACATCTAGTTTTTTTCTGGGAGCAGCTAGTGACAAGGACATTTGTTTTCTGAATTTCAGAAATTTCAGAAAGGTAGTGTTTCAAATGGACATGCTAATCTGCCTTTCACTCATGCTGCCTTGGAGAACTCACCCAGGCCTATTTAGACTACTAGCTCTGACATGAGTAAACAAAGACAAAAAATAAATATTTACAATACTTTGGGATTTTGTGAGTGGCATTTATTCATTTTACATTACATTAATTTTACATTTCTAAAATAATTTTAATTCATTTAAAATTTTAATATTTTAAAAATTATTTACACCTGAACAAGGCTCCACAAACAAAAAAACGACCATTCTGTTTAGTCAGTTTGTTGCAGACTGCCTTCATCTAGATACAGTTATTTACACCCCTGTTTTGCAAGTGATCATTAAAATGATATTAGAACATTTTGAGCAGTACATACCTCAACAATATAATAGCAAATTGCTTATAAAACATTCAGCTGTTTTTATTAGTTCATAGTCACTCCATTTCTTGTTTTCTGAGAATTTCAGCAGAACCAGGCACATGAAAAAAATCGAGGTTCCATCCAGGCTCCATTCATGGCATCTACAGTAATTCCCTTTTCAGAAAAAGAATACTGCACAGTCACATTACATTTTAAAAAGGTAGCTAGCCTATATATTTTAAACAGTATGTTTACATAACATATAAAGCATGTTATACTTTCAAGAAATTTGATGACTCCGAAAAAATAGATTAAAGCTACCATTTCAGAAACATCTAACACAACAAAAATGCCACATAGTGATCTGTTCTGAGTTGTGAAGGGCTGAAAGTGATATGTTGGACAGGACTGTGGATTACAGCAGAGCGCTTTCCACTGACGTGAGTTTTTATGCATTTTCTACTGTAGATGGCAATTAAAATTTCAGTTTAATATCTCATCTGGAGGATCAGTCCTTCTACAACACAATGTCTCCCAGTCACCACACTGATCAGTTTCTTTAAAATCCTTTCAATCGAGAATAATGTATTATGGAATTTTATACAGTAACTGTCAGGACTAACATACGCAACAATGAAAGTTGTGGGTGCATAAAATTCTTGCAGAGAAAAGCTGAGAAGACAAGCAAGTTGAGCCATTCTAATGTAAAAGTGGCATTATACTGACACGTTATGATATTAGATCATTCTCGGAAATTATTAATTATGATTGTTCTGAGACTAACAAATATTATGCAAAATGTGGTTCTTTGTCAATGTTTAGAAAATATTTAACAAAAAGTCTAAAGACAAAATAAGTGCTTAATCCTTACTGTATCTCTTAATCACAGAAGTATCTTTATTTTTCTACTGCACAATCTGAATACTGTCCTGCGAATCCGAGTCATGTTTAAACCATATATGAGGGGATTTAGAAGAGGAGGGATGACTAGAAACTCCACAGCCATGATGTTGCGAAGACTCTGTGGTGTGTTTCTAGAGCCGTAACGAGTGTACATCGCATCAAAGAGCATAGTGACACCAAAGCTGATTAATGTAATCAAATGAGGCAAACAAGTCTGAATAAACTTAGTTCTGCTTTCAACAGACTTTAAACAGGCTCTGATAATGAAGATATAGGAATATATAATCAAAAAGAATTTTACAGTATATTTAATAATTAGAGTATATCCATACACATTGTTTATGGTTGTATCCACACAAGATAACTTGACAACTGACCAGTTTTCACAGTAAAGCTTCTCAATGTGAGATCCACATAAAGGGAGTCTGATAGTAAGCAAAATTAGAATAATCAAGTCAAAGAGGGAGGAAATCCAGGAAATCATTAGACACTTGGTGACAGTTAGAGGAGTCATGATAACGTGGTATTCCAAGGGTCTGCAAATCGCAACATATCTGTCAAAGGCCATCACTGTTAAGTTGGTGAGCTCACAGTAAACGTAAGAGTAAATCACAAAGATTTGAATGATACATGCAGTATAGGAGATCATATGAGTATCAGAAAGAAAGTCAACCAGTAGTTTAGGGTACAATCCAGCAGTTCCATAGAGTGCGTTAACACTCAAGTTACAGATGAAGATGTACATGGGCTCATGGAGGGATTTCTCCAGAAGGACTGTAGCAATCAGTGTCAGATTTAAGAAAGTAATCAACAGGTAAAAGAGAAGAGTAAAGGCAAAAAATATATATTTATTTGATCGTGTCTCATTTAATCCATGGAGTGTAAATATAATAACATCAGATGAGTTCTCCATTGCAGTTGGTGATTTAGATTGGACTTACCAATAGCGATGTGGCAGAAATTGAACCTTGTTCTCCGCTTTAAATAGAGTTGTTAGTAATCTTCCAGAACATAACATGCCAACAGTAATGGGATACTAAAGGAAACCTAGACAACAGACAAAAATCAGACAAAGATCACAATGTTGAAGAAATCAAATAGCGATTTCATCATTTTGTGTGATCTAGATGTATCTTCAAATGTTGTCTGTAGGTGGCGTTGTACTAACTCCAGCTCCCTGAAAGACTTATTAAAAAATAAGATATAAGCTTTACCTAGTGCTTTTCACAATACATTATCTCAAAGTGTTTGTCAGAAAATAACAAAACAACAGATTTACAGTACATGTCAATGTACTGTAACATTTTGTCAACAAAATAATTCAATAAATGAAACAGAGTTTAAGACAGGGTCCAAACATGCTAGCTGGATTGCAAGACCAAATACAGAGTATGCTGGGAAATAATTCCACAGCCTTCCACAGGAAGAATTCTGGAGATCCTTATAATACACCAAGACACTGTTTTAAAGGATTTTTGTTTCTTTCAACCATCTGGCTTTCTGTAATTAGTTTCAGTCTCACTAAACATGTATTATAGTGTGATGAGTCCCCAAGGAGAGTTCTCAGACAGCAATCTTCTAACATGGAAAATAAAATAATAATCAAGCATCTGAAACACGGAAATAGAAAAGAGTACAACTAAAATTCTCAATTGTTTTGCTCTGTTCAACTAATCATTATTTTAAAAACAGTGTGTGTCTTGTCTCTTTATTATTTTTCCACCATTTCAACAAGTATTTATTAAAATTCTATATACTAATTACCTCTCATACTGTATGGTGCTGCAGGAAGAGCACGAAGTGTTGTTTCCTAAGATGAGCTATTTTACTCAGCTTTATACATTATGTCTCCTGCATGAGGGAGGCTTTAGAGAATTGCAGTCTTTGGAGACTCATCACTCTGAAATACTTGTTTAATGAGACTGAGGCTAATTACAGAAAGTCAGAAATTTTAAAGAAGTCATAACCCTTTTAAAAACAAGTCATATTTTTTCATCTATGTAAAAAAAAAACGTGGAAATATTCATACAAAGGCAGTGGGAGTCATGAAGATTAGAAGGGACTCTGGAACCATCCATTTCTAACCTCTTTATGCAAGAATTGTTGTGGGTGAGTCCATACCAGCAAGCAACGAGTGTGGGGCAGGGTATACCCTGGATGGAATGCCAGTCTGTTCCAGGGCACACATAGACAAAGACATGCACACAGTCACACCAGGTCTAGTTGTCCTAGAAGCCAGTTAACCTGCCGATATGTTGATGGACTGCAGGAGAAAACCAAAGCACTGACGCGAACACTAGGAGAACAAGCAAAGTCCACACAGATAGCACCCCAGAAATTGAACCGATGAAATATTTTAAAGCAATTTTAAAGATCCTGATTAGCAATACAGCCAGACTTGCTTACCTTGTTTAACACGAGCGAATGCTTGCATTTGTACAGTATGTAGGTGCATTAAAAAAATAAAAAGTAAAACACTTGTAAGTGTAGTAAAGAAACACTGGTATGTGTAAACTTTCTATCATTGCTTTCTCACTTTCTCAACATTAAAAAAAATCCGTATCTAAAATTATTTTGGTTTAAAAAACAAAATTAATAATTTATCCCATTGCATTCTTTACAATTTACAGTCAAAAGTAAGGGACACTCAAAACATTTTTACCTTTGGAATGGCCAGCAGGTTAGGGTGTCATGGTCGTCATCCTACTCTAGAGGGCGCTCCAACCCTTTTGTATTTTAGTTTCGTTATTATGTGCACCTGTCACTTGTTACATAGGATACCTGTCAAACATTCCTTCTGTAAGTCTTAAGGAAGCTAAGCTGACTGAGGTACACATATATATGGTAGAATAGGGCCTGCTACATTCAGATACGGCAAAATTAATGTACTGACTGCAAAACCAAGGTGAGAAACATTATAGTTTCTGATGTGGCGATATGAATATTGAAAGCACTCGTGAGAATAAAGTAGACCTGTCACAAATAATAGATACATTAATCTGTTGTTTTAAAACTAAAATTTCTCCTAAGGGGAAAGTTTTTAGAAATTCAGATGCTTTTCGAGATTTACTATTTTGTCATGATTTGTTAATACACCGCAGCTTGTCATTTAATTAGTGCTACGTCCATAATTCATATTGATCATAATCTTCTGAAGCCTTATAAAAGCAATACCATCTTAAATATACGCGTAGCCAATATGAAGCATTGTAGTAGCTAATTTGTCACATTTACCAACCAAATGAATTGGCTCTCAAGCAATTTTATATAAATAAAACAAAACATGTGCCCAGCATTAGACTACTGTTTCTGGTGATAGGACCAGTACAAATGTCACTTTACAGACAAAGAGTAAAGTCAGTATTTAACACCAGTGTGTGGGCTGAGTATCAGACAAGCTTAAGGAATTACAATGGTTTAGCAATTAGACCCCTAATCCAGTGAGCACCATGTGCCAGAAGGCATGAAACAGATCCTTTACAATTTTCAAAATAAGGATTTCTTTAAGGGAGCAACACACATAGAAAAATTCTTCACCATTAAATCATAATTGTTCTTATCCTTTCCAGATGAGGATCATGTACTGTATTATGAAAGCACAGCACATAATTTCCAAATTACATATTTGCCTGGGAATTACGGAGGTTTTTCTTTAATCATTACAGGCATGGCTTCCATTTATCATAATTTAAAGGACAACCACTGTAACTTTTGTTTTTGCTGGGAATAATGGCACCATTTTGCATAATTCTTTGAATGTGACGGTCAGATAAAATAATACTCTAAAACTCATATAAAAGTGGAAACTACATTTCCACTGAATATTTTTATTATGAGTTAATGCCTTTATATCCCTGAAAAATGTAAGAATAATTCTTCACAAATACAGCACTAATATATAAACACAGATGTAAGCAATGCAGAAGAAATCACACCATTAGATACCATGAATATCTTTATAAAACTGGTTGGTACAAGTCTATACCATTTTCCAGTATTAAGTGAAATTTTATGACCACAGCTGCAATGACACATTTAATGTCTCTGAAAAGGAAATCCTTCTTCTCTTTATTTTTTTACAAGGCACTGTACAGTATATATATATATCCCCTCAAAGGAACAGCCCATACAACAGACAGAGGAAGTATTGTACTAAATAAGTCCAAAGAGAAATCAGTCCTTGTACTCTTTTTGTCAACGTACATTCAAAAAGTGAAGTATCCAGTGAAAGTACCTTCAGTTACACAAAAATCTGTAGAAAGAGATTCATTCTTGAAATACATTGTGCACATATTAAAGCTATGGAAAAGCGTATCATCTTGTACATATTAAATCTTCAATTATAACGATATTACTACTAATGGTAATTTGTTATTACTAATAAAATATATATGCAAATTAAAAGTTGTCTTTTCTTGAAGACCAAATGCAGAGAGCAAAAGGATCTGAAACAAGAAAAAAGAAAATAATTATTTTTGTCTTTGTTTAGATTTGAGCAATCTTATGATTACACAGCATTCTCAGCACCTTTTTCCTGATCTGATTCAGCTTTAAACCATATATGATGGGATTGAAAAGAGGGGGAACAATCAGATATTCCACAGACATTAAATTTCTCAAACTCTGGGACATTTCCTGATCCCCAAATCGTGTGTTTAGTGTATCAAAAAGTGTGGCAATTATAAAGTTCAAGAAAGTTATCAAGTGTGGTAAACAAGTATGCATAAATTTACTTCGGTCTTCTTGAGATCGTCTGCATGCAGCAATTAATTTTATGTATGAATAAAAAATAAATAACACAAGAGCTATAAAGCAAGCCATTTGTATAAGCCCAAATACAATGCTCACTGTTGAGAATTTACACAATAGTCTCTCAAGGGACCAGTTGTCACAGTAGAGCTTTTCAATGTGATTTCCACAAAATGGCTGCCCAATAGTCAATAAAATAGTAAATGTCACAGAAAAGCAGGGAAAAATCCAAGAAAAAAGCAATAACTTGCCTACAGTTAGAGGTGTCATGATAGAATTGTAGTGCAAGGGTTTGCATATTGCCACATACCTGTCATAGGCCATCACTGTTAAATTGGTAAATTCACACAAAGAGTAAGAGAAGATAACAAATGTTTGGAGGAGACATCCAGTGTATGAGATGACATGAGTGTCAGAGAGAAAATCAGCCAGGAGTTTAGGGCAGAAGCCAGCAGTTCCATACAGTCCGTTAACACACAGATTACAGAGGAAGATGTACATTGGTTCATGCAGGGTTTTCTCCAGAAGAATTAATGCAATTAATGTCAAATTAACAATAATGATCACAAGGTACCAAAGAAGTGTTAGGGCAAAATAGATATATTTATTTGTGACTGATTCATTCAGTCCTGAAAGAGTGAAAGTGGTAAAATGGGATACGTTGTCCATAAGTATTAGAAATGTTTTCAATTTCCTTGGTGATAAATCCTATAAATAAAAAAGTAGTTTAAATTGATTAGCATATTGAATACAATTATCATGCAAATCAACAATTGCACATGTATTCTAAATATAACATTGTAGAACATCTCTCAGTATTTAATATTAAATATTATATAGTACATTTATTTTAAGTTACATTAAATTAAAATACATAATGGTTGGAAAAAGTGCCATTCAAGATTAAGTATCTTATGGACACACAAACTTTACAAATCCCTTACTAAAGCCTTTCGGAATAAAAAAAAAATCTAAACACACAAAATGGGAAGTAAGATATATGAACAAAAATAAAAATGCAAATTTAAGAAGTTAACAGGTAAACAAGTTAAAAATTGACATTTAACAGTTAAAAGTTAAAAGGTAAGAAAAATGCCAGCCTTGATTAAAGTATTTCTATAACTGTAAAGTATTTAAAAAATAAAAATGATTTTTTTTACCGTTTTCTATGCATAAATAATTATTCCTGCTCTCTTTTCTTTGTGGTACAAGCTGAATGCAGACTTGAATTGCTTGATTTAAAGAAAGATGCTCACCTTTATAATCATTCTCTAAGGAGAAGCTACATGGTTTTAATGGTGGTTCATCAGCTGACTAAAATTTCAAGAGACTTTATGGGCATCTGATTCATAACAAGATTATAAAAATAAACCATGATCAATTCTCCATGGAATTATTGAATACATTTCTTACAATCATAAGGCACTAATTACATTTGTTTTTCATTTTATATACCATGCATCAAAAGAAACATTTCACTTAATTTATTAATATACTGCATTCTCTTAGGAAAAAAAGTATATTAAGTGTTTGTGTTATTTTGGATATGAAATATTTTTGTTATCATTTTATCATTTGAATGACTCACAGTGATATACTCAAGTAATTATGACTGTTGCTAACACATTAAACCACCTCATTAGTGAAAACTTTGATTTGGCACAGGCTAGAAGAACTTGTTAAATATGGTGAATCTCTGGTGTTTCATAGCCAAACTTGTCACAACTACTTTGTCCATTTTCCTTCTGGGATCCTGGCTTTGGTGCCAACCACTTCTGGGGCTGACTGAGTGAAAGGCTTCCTTTTTCTAATCTCTCTCTCTCTATTTCTTATCTTTCTCTCACATGCACATATAACTTGGACTCTTGCACTCTTTTGGTCTTTACATACAGTACAGTATGTAACATACTGTACTGTATAGACAGTGCAGTATTCTTTCCAGCATGCTCCTTGAAACATGCTCTCTCAAAGACCACCCATCTGTCAACTGGGCTAAAGAAGAGGGTGTAGACTTCTGTGTTGCGTTGTGTTGTGCTGTGTGTTGTGTAGTCTTCTGTTCTCCTTTCTGTGGTCAGAAGATATGATGTAATCAGACAATGCCCCACTCCTGCAGGTGTTAATACCACCTATCGGTCCGGGTCTAGAAAGCCATTCTTTGCTCTTTGACAGTGTACGGTAATGCTATTGGGCCTGGGAAATAGCCATCCCATCCAATCTGCCTATCAAGATCATCTGATCCAGCTCTCAGGGCATGTGCTGCATCTTGTTCAAGTCATACCACCTAGCTGAACCCCACAGGCCTGTTAGCCAGCCCAGCCCACTTGTAGCAGGAATTCCAAACTGAGTTCATGTCCCTTCCTGGCTGACGTCTGAGCACAGTCTTCACTTCTTTCTCTCTTGGCTGCGCCTTTAAACCACCCGATCACTCAGATGTGTAACAAATTGGCCGCTTAATTCAGTTGGTTAGCGTGTGGTGCTACTAATAATGCCAAGGTCGTGGGTTCAATCCCCATATGGGCCAGTGTTTCCTCTTTGGGGTGGTCGTCAGACATTTCTACAGCCCTTGCAGACCTTGCAGGAAGCATCAGCACTTTCATTGGCAGGATGACTGTAACTTGCCATCCACATGAAAATGATCAGCCTGCACCATCCAGGGGTAATGTTTATAGCTGACAGATGAAATCCACATTAAATAATATAATGACGGAGAATGTGGTAGAGGGTTTTATGCACAAATAAAATAACATTTTGCCCTTCACAGACCTGACAGGAGAACATTTGTGTGGATACATCAGGGGAAATATTATGCTGATTTCTGTATTACTAAAATCAGTGGAAGGAGCCCTGGAAGTATGAAGAAAGAGCCATGTTTAATGTGAAACATAAACTCTGTGTGAACCCAAGCTCTATCGAAAGATGCTCTTTATGGGATTTCTAAGTTTTTTATATTGTTGAAAATGATTAAGACAATGGATGTGAAATATAAAAAGTCAAAAACTTGACTAATGCCAGCCAAACATATCTCAGCCATATCATAGCCAGTATTTATCACAAAACAACAGATAACAAAGCAGTGTAAGTCAGAGGTCAGTGAGAGAGGATATAGAAATAATAAGGACTTTAATAATAACAGATTAACACATCAAGAAACTGAGGACTACAATCTGTCTGAGGACTATGAAAGCAAACATCTAAGAAGAGGACTTAGAAAGTCTTTACTTGCCCATGGTTCTGTAATAAATATTAATGGTGAGATGGTTGGGAAATACCAATTCAGGGTTTTAAGAGAATTAAAATTGTTGAATTGTACTTTTTAAAATGAATTGCTTATGGACCTGACATTCTGTAACAGAAGCATTCTGTCAAAGAAAGGTTATATTTGTTTTTTATAAAAATGAAAGAATAATTATTAGTATTTCAGTTTCATACATTCATAAAATGATGACATGTCTCATAACGCCCAGAGTTTTTCATCTTTGGTGTGGTCTAGTTGAAAGAAACATCATGTCAGTGAAATATTCTAAAGAGTCTTCTCCTGATCTGGTGTAATTTTAAACCATATATGATGGGATTGAAAAGAGGAGGGATGATTAGGAATTCCAGTGACATTACATTGCGAAGAGCCTGGGACATGGCTTTTGAACCGTATCTACTGTACAGTCCATCAAAGAGCATGGCTATGAGGAAGTTGGTAAAGGTTAATAAGTGTGGCAAACAGGTGTTCATAAATTTAACCTGGTCTGTTTGAGATGTTCTGCAGACAGCAATTATCCGGATGTAGGAATAGAAGACATAAAACACAGGGATCAAAAACAAAGCAATAATAATATATCCATACACAAGATTATAAGTGGTTGGTATGCAAGACAGTTTCACAATTGACCAGTGTTCACAGTATAGTTTTTCAACATACAATCCACATAAAGGGAGCCTAACAGTCAATATAATTGTGATAATCATAGAAAAAGAAGGACAAATCCATGTAAAAAGAATTAATTTACCAATTAGAAGAGATGTCATAATCGAATTGTACTGTAAAGGTCTACATATTGCTACATATCTGTCATAAGCCATCACTGTTAAATTAGTAAATTCACACAGAACAGAAGAGTAGATCACAAAGATTTGAAACAAGCATCCACTGTATGAGATAACATGAGAGTCAGAGAGAAAGTCAGCCAGGAGTTTAGGATACAAACCAGCAGTTCCATACAGTCCATTAAAACACAAGTTACAAACAAAGATATACATGGGTTCATGGAGGGATTTCTCCAGAAGGATGGTCACAATCAGTGTCAAATTAACAAAAATGATGGAAATATACCCCAAAAAAGTGAAGCCAAAGTAAATATATTTATTAATCCTTGAATCATTTAGTCCTGAAAGAGTTAATGTTGTGTAAAAGGATAAGTTGTCCATTAATGATGTTTGAAATGTCTTGCTGATAGAGCCTATACAAAAAAGAAATAATGTGCTGTAAATTATTTATTATTATTATTCAGTTAACTCAATATATAGTGTGCATGTAATTTTATAGTTGTTCTATTTTTATATGATTCTGTGCCCCAGTGAAATAGCTTTACCAAGACTGTGTAAAAACAGCCTGTAGAATCTGAAGGACTTAAGCAATGTGAAAGTAAATTGAAACTAGCAACAGGAGTGTTTAATTTTTTTTCGTTATTATTTCTTTTGTTTCCGTGTTAGGATTATTCTTCTTGGTATAGAGAGAAAACACAGACATCAAAATGTATAATGTCAACAATTTTCATACTGCAGTATAAAATGTGTACTGCAGATCACAAAATGTGTCTAACATAAGTTGAAAAGGATAAAACAGTATTACCTTGGTTAACAGTTGTTAACTCCTGTTGCAGCAACACTTTCTGTACAAATATTATTATACCTGGTTATACACTGTGACAACAGCAAATCCAGGCACTGACCTCCTTTTCATCTGATGAACAGCTGTGAAACTTTCACTCTGTCTGTCAGCTTTATCTTTTTTCTTCTCCCTTTCAGATGAGAGGCATTGGCTGTTGGCTGATGATCTTAGGAATGTCCCAAGAGATTTCAGACACTACAGAATGCCCCATAATGATGTAAGACAAGAACAGTTCTCAATTACGTCTCTGAGGTATGCATGAAGGCTCACCCTGAGCACCGACAGCAGCCAGGCAACAGCAGAGAAACTTTTATATTGACTCATGAGATAACTCTAATCCTAATGACGGGAGAAAATTTGTATGCACTCAAAAAATATTCTTGCACGTAATTTCTAAAGTCACACATCAGGGGGTCATAGATGGAAATGCAGTCATGATTACTATGGAACTGTATAAAAAATAATATACTGTAGTTCAAACATTTTTTTAAGATCTAATTAAAAATGAACTTACCATTTCTTTGAAAATTGATTAATCGCTTAGTTAGAAATACATAATACATGTTCTATAAAAATGTGCTTGACTGTGATTTTTATTAGTACAGTTGTTTTCTACAACGATTTCAAATATCTATACAATCAAGAGCTCTGCATGAAAATGCATGCCACAATGCCACAAGTTAATCTACTTTTAAAAACCATAACATATCTTAAAAGAACAGGAGGATAATGTATTTAATCTATTTGAACTTTTTATAATACTGGAAGGCATCAAGTAATTTTGCAAAATAAAACACCTTTATATCAACATGGCTAAACTTTTGCAGCCACATTTAGTTTTGATTTTGATTTTCTGCTGTACACTAACTTTTCAGCTTGAAATGAAGTGAGATGAAGGTAACAGAAAATGTGTATAAAGGCATTATTCCTTAGTAGATTAAACAGTGCCCCAATGAAGAAGGTCAAAGGAGCACTAAATGTCTTCTAAGATTGGTTTTTATAGTGAAAGTGGAGATCCATAGTTAGAGGACAAGTTGCTTTCTATAGGTGTGACTTTAGTTCTGATCACAGGGATTATTCAAGTGTTGGCACACAAGTGCAAGTGTTGACAAGTTCGCTGGGGCTGGGAGGTATTGTTATCATTCCTGCCCTGCGGTGCAGTATCTTCCTTCTGTATCTGTGCAGATGCCTATGACCTTGTAGAGCTGCAAATAAGAAAAGCTTCTATTCCAGCTGAAAAAGACAGCACTGTGGACACCGACACATGGTGTCAGAGAGGCCAGGCGCTGCAGGTTTTTGTGTGACAGCATGCAGTGTCCTAATCCCTTTTGTTCTGCTATCAAAGATGACCTTGTAACATTTGTAACTGCAGATTTTAGTCTAGAAATGAATTACAAAATAGCACGTTTGTTATTTCAAAGAAAGATATATTTGAGGAATTGTAGTCCGGTTGTCAAAATATTCAGATTTTTGTTAAGGGCCTCTGAGGTTGAATAAATAAACAATTTATTTTGTTGAGATTTGTATTTGTATGATCTTAGATCTTAGAAACATCTCAAATGAATTCAGGCTTTATGGAAATCAAATCCTGTAGTGATGCAAAATAAGAATAATTTTGATAATTTCTCTTCGGTACAAATGAAGGTTCTCCCTGAGCACTAACAGCCCCCAGGCAACAGCAACGGTATCAAGAAAATGCCGTGATACATGTCTGAAGTATTAAATGAAAGAAAAGAGCAGGACTAAATAATATTAGAGTACAAGTGAAAACAAAAAGCACCAACTCTATGTTTCTGAATTCTAAACTTAATCATGATTGTACAAAATGCTTGAACAACTGATTGATGAATAATTTCATAAATAATGTCTTGAATTGTTACAGTATTTTATTCTTATTTTTTTGGATTTCACTTACAAAGATAGTATTTGTTATGTTTTAAAATTGTATTGTAATTGGCTGCTGGGGAACATATTGGCAGCTGGGGTAAAGATTTTTAGTAGTCTGCCTTTCAGGGCTCACATTTAAAGGGATCTTATTAATGGTTAATGATATACATTTTCTATTGCAATATCTGAGATGGTTGCAGATTAGTAAAGGACTTTATTCACAGAATAAATTTGCTGTGAAAATTCATTTTCAATTTGAACACTGTCAGATAAAGATCTGAGGTTGATATCACAGAGGAAGAGGTTTGGGAGGCTGTTGACTGCCTGATGAGGAGCAAATCACTAGGGTTAGATGGGTTTCCAATTGATTTTTATAAAACATTTTTACCTTTGTTGATTGCCCCCCCACAGTGGACATGTATAGTAAGGCAAATTATAATGGTAAATTACTGGAAACATTAGAAGCAGAACTAATTAGTTTTATTAAAACCAGGAAATAACGACAAACCTTATGGACTCTATAGGCCAATATCATTATTAAACTCGGATTATAAAATTTTAACTAAAGTGATTGCTAGAGAGGGACTTTTGCTGCCTTATCTAGTACCTATGGATGAAACTGACTTTGCTGCAAACAATTCCTCTTGTGATAATATTCAGAGATTTTATACAGTAATCTTACATTGCGCCAAGCAGGTCTATGAAGAAGTACTGGCATCATTACATGTTAAGACGGCCTTCGAGTGTGTTGCTCCCAAACAGATAGATGAATTCCCAAACAAATACAACATCACTTATTTATTAATGGAAAATGTTTATACAGTGGTACTAAAACTATTTTCAAAGTACATGTTTATTAATGTCAGTGTTTCAATTTCACATAAAATGTGATGGGAAAATTACATACATTTTGCTTAGCTGGACCAAATGGCTTCCTCTTGTTTATAACCTTTCTAGTCCCAGCTGCAGATTTCACACTGGGTTAGTCACTCAGGTGCAGTGTATAAATTGAACAGAAGACAAGACAATAGACAGTAACACAATAACAATAACACTATAATCAGAACTGTGCAAATACACAAACAGAGAAAAGAATACAATAGGACAAAAACAGTGCAAAAGAAATTGGGGAACAGTGCAAAAATAATACAGTGATTAATAAATATTACAACTAAAATCAAGTCCATTTTTTTTAAAAGATAATATTATTAAAACATTCTTACTTTTTATAGAGGTCTCTAATCTCTAAAAAATCATTTAATCTTATCCAGATAATATCATATCAGGATAGATCTTGTTCAGTGTTTTATGATGAAATACTGTTGACTCTTGAAGTTTCTTTTGGCAGCAGTTTACTGTGCACTCGTTTTGAGTAATGTTGTGACAACTAAATATGCTGTAAACTCTTCTCCTGATCTGGTGTAATTTTAAACTATATATGATGGGATTGAAAAGAGGAGGGATGATTAGAAATTCTAGTGACATAATGTTACGAAGAGACTGGGGCATGTCACTTGTCCCATATCTAGTGTACATTCCATCAAAAAACAAGGCAATCATGAAGTTGGTAAAGGTTAGAAGGTGTGGCAGACAAGTGTTCATAAATTTAATTTGGTTATTCTGAGATCTTCTGCAGGCAGCAATTATTTGAACGTAGGAATAGAAGACATAAAATACAGGTATAGAAAGTACAGCAATATTAATATATCCATATATATGATCATAGGTTGTTGGTATGCAGGACAGTTTCACAATCGACCAGTTTTCACAGTAAAGTTTTTCAATGTGATATCCACACAAAGGTAGCCTTATAGTCAATAAAAGTGCTAATATCAAAGAGCAAGAAGGACAAATCCAAGCAAAAGGAATTAATTTACCTATTAAAAGAGGAGTCATAACTGAATTATACTGTAAAGGCCTACATATTGCTACATAACGGTCATAAGCCATTACAGTTATGTTAGCTGTTTCACATAAACGAGAGGAGTAAATCACAAAGACTTGAATCAAGCATCCACTGTATGAGATCACATGAGAGTCCGAGAGAAAGTCAGCCAACAGTTTTGGATAGAAACCAGCAGTTCCATACAGTCCATTAACACATAAATTGCAAACAAAGATATACAATGGTTGATGTAGAGATTTCTCCAGAAGGATGGTCACAATCAGTGTCAAATTAAAAAAAATGATAGAAAAATAGCCCATCAAAGTTAAAGCAAAGTAAATATATTTATGTGTCCTTGAAACATTTAGTCCTGAAAGAGTAAATATGGTATGATGGGATAGGTTGTCCATTAATAGTGTTTTTAAAATTCTTTCTGAAGAGCCTAGAAATAAAAGAGAATATATACAATGCTGTAAATTTCTTTGTTTAATTCATTCATCACTCAACATTAATCATGAACATTATATATAGTCTTATATCAAAATCAGATTTTTATATTGTTTTAAAGCACGGTATTTAATTTAATTAAAATAAATTGTGTACAATATCCATACTGTATTCATTGCTAGGAAAGCAAAGATGTTATCACTATTTAGTGAAATGTTGTTTTCCAACAGTTGCATTTAAATATTTTTTGTGCTGCTTCAATTGTATTTCTGGGTTTGTCACAAACAAATCATCCAGCAGAAAACGTTTGTACCTAAACAGTTATTTGATATGTAAGACAGTTATTGAGTGTAATAAATTTAAAAGCTCTTTATCATTTTTGGACTAAACATTTGCCCAAACACAGTAAGAAAAACAGTTCACACACAGGAATTGCATGTACAAATGGCTGTGCTAGAGAAAACAAAGTGAACTATTAAAAGTTGTGTATACAAAGTCAACAGTATTTCTAATATAATATAAGGCATCCTTTCTCTTAGTCTTTGATCTCTTCTGTCTGTGTAGTCTAAACACTAAAGCATAGAATATATCATAACATTTACATGAAATAAAAATAATAAATCTCTGCCTTTTTTAATAAATAGAATGTAACTTCTATTTCTGCATCCATAATGCAATATGTTCTGTAAGCATGTGATTTACCTGATTGTAGGCAGTGACTATATTGAATCCAGTATTGATCACCTTTTCATTTGCTGTTGGCTTTCAGAATTGCACAGCATCACAGCTTTATCTTCTCCCTTTGAGGTGAGGGTTTTGGTTGATGATCTTAGAAACATCCCGACTGAATTCAGGCTCTGTGGGAATCCTGTAATGATGCAAAATAAGAATAATTCTTGATTATTTCTCTGAGGCACGAGCACCAATAGCAACTGGGCAACAGCAGTGGGATCATGAAACTGCTGTGATACATGTCTGAAGTATGAAACAAAAGAAAAGAGAAGAGAAAAAAAACATGAAGGATTGAATAAAAAGAAAAAAAAGATAAAAAACACAAACCCTATGTTTCTAAGACTTAAATTTATTCACAGCAAAATAATGACATTTTATGAATGTACAAAATACCTGAACAAATGATTGATGAATAAATACTATCTTGAATTAAAATATTCTATTTTTGTCTTTCACATACTGTGCAAAAATAGTATTTGTCATATCTTAAAATGTTATTGTACTTGGGAAACCCACTGAGATTAGCAGGATGGTAGGGAATATATTGACAGCTATGGTAAAATATTTTAAGTAGTCTGCCTGATTTGGATCCAAGACCTTTATCCAGTGAGTAGAAACAAAAGTCATGCATCTATAGTATGTACTGTACCTTATCAGGTGGATACTTTTTTCTCTACTGACACAAGAATGTCCAGGATGAGAAAAAAAATCATCCACAGATTGAATGTAATTCACTATCAGCATGAAAAATATGCACACACTGTTCAGGGTTCACATTTAGAGGTCTCTTAATGATAGTAGAGGAAATATGAATTCTCTTTTAAAAACATCTGAGATGGTTGCAGACTAGCAAAGCATTAAATTCATTTATTCACAGAATAAATTCATTTTCAGTTCGAACACTGTCAGATGAAGATCTGGGTGGTCTGAACGTAGATATCGCAGAGGAAGAGGTTTGGAGAGGCTGCTGCTTGCCTGCTGGGAAGGAAATCACCAGGGTTAGATGGGTTTCCAACTGATATTTCTGAGAGATTTTTGTCTGGATTGATTGCCCCCCCCAGTGGACATGTATGGTAAGGCAAATTATAATGGTAAATTACTGGAAACATTAGAAGCAGAACTAATTACTGTTTTATTAAAACCAGGAAATAACGACTAACCTTATGGACCCTATAGGCCAATATCATTATTAAACTCGGATTATAAAATTTTAACTAAAGTGATTGCTAGAGAGGGACTTTTGCTGCCCTAATCTAGTACCTCAAACTGACTTTGTTGCAAACAATTCCTCTTGTGATAATATTCAGAGATTTTATACAGTAATCTTACATTGCGCCAAGCATGTCTATGGAGAAGTACTGGCATCATTACATGCTAAGACGGCCTTCGGGTGTGTTGCTCCCAAACAGATAGATGAATTCCCAAACAAATACAACATCACGTATTTATTAATGGAAAATGTTTATACAGTGGTACTAAAACTATTTTTAAAGTACGTGTTTATTAGTCAGTATTTCAATTTCACATAAAATGTGATGGGAAAATTACATACATTTTGCTTAGCTGGACCAAATGGCTTCCTCTTGTTTATAACCTTTCTTAAGTCCCAGCTGCAGATTTCACACTGGGAGTGTGTGAAAAAAATTATGAATTCAATTCAATTCAACTTTATTTGTCATTATACTTACACAGGTGCATAGTATAGTGAAAAGTGTTTCTCATTAGTCACTCAGGTGCAGTATATAAATAGGACAGAAGATAAGACAATAGACAGTAACACAATAGCAATAACAGTAACATGTAAAACATAACATAAAAAACATGTAATCAAGTAATCAAAACTGTGCAAAATTCCACAAACAGAGAAAATATAACAGGACAAAAACAGTGCAAGGTAATTCTTGGAACAGTGCAATATGGGGAGATATCAGGTTACAGTGTGAATGGAACAAATGATAGAAATAAAATGTAATTACACCACTTAATATGGCTGTGAAGATTATGCCTCGCATGAATATAGAAACCTATTTGGGGAGTGAATTGATGCTGACCAGTATAAGAGTTACTAAAATGGCATCAATTGCTCTTAATAATGGTACACTGTAGCTGTAAAAGTAGTATATTGCAACCTGTGGTTTAATGTAGTATAATGCATAATGTGGTTGAGAGAAATCACCTTTCAACTGGAAAAAAGGAACTTGACAAAAAAAATCAAATCTAATCATTTAATATCCAGCAGCCATATCACTCTGCAACTGGCAACTGGCAACCCACTGAAGCTAAGCAAGTGTGACCCTGGTCAGTACCTCCTGGGAAAAACTAAGGTTGCTGCTGGGAGAAGTGTTAGTGGGGCCAGCAGGGGGCACTCACCCTGCGGTTTATGTAGGTCCTAATGCCCCAGTATAATGATGGGGACACTATACTGTAAACTGGCATCGTCCTTCAGATGAGATGTAAAACCGAGGTCCTGACTCTCAGGGCATTTCTCAAAAAGAGTAGGGATATAACCCCAGCGTCCTGGCCACATTTCCCATTGGCCCTTACCAGTCATGGCCTCCTAATAATCCCCATCTATGAATTGGATTCATTACTCTGCTCTCCTCCCCACTGAGAGCTGATGTGTGGGGAGCGTTCTGGTGCACTATGGCTGCTGTTGCATCATCCAGGTGAATGCTGCACATTGGTGGTGGCAGAGGGGAGTCTCCATTACCTGTAAAGCACTTTAAGTGGAGTGTCCAGGACAATCTGTTACATTTGTGTCAACCTCTACTCCCATGACTAATATGAGTAGCTTAGTTAAACACATGTTGATTTTCTTGGCTATGCTATTTTATGCTAAGATTACAAGCTCAAATACAGTATACTCAAAATCATTCTATCTCACCTTTTGGCCTTTTAATGTTTCTTTATCTTGTTGTATATTTTATATATACTTGTTTATAATTGTTGTGTATATGTTATAAGTGTAATTCAATAAAGTAATAAAGACAATGTTAACAAATTAAATAAAACAATGCATGTAAATGGGGAAAGGGGTAATTTAATCCAGTTCTGCTCCCAAACAGACAGATGAAGTCCCAAATAAATGCAACAACACATTTTTATTAATGGAAAATGTTTAAGCTACATCTCTGTTAATGTCAATGTTTCAATTTCATATAAAATATGATGGGAAACTTACATACATTGGGTTAAGTGGACCAAATAGCCTCAGTTAATTTGTAACATTTTTTACATTCCAGCAGCAGATTTCACACTGGGGGTGTGTGAAAAAATATCAAGTCCATTTTTTAAAGAAAGTAATGTTATGAAAAACATTCTTATCTTTTGTATTGGTCTCTCACGTCTAATAATTGAAAAATAATTTTATCTTGCCCAGATATATGTTGTTCAAGCAATATTAAGTGTTTTATAATGAAAACATCAATGTCCAATACTCTTGACTCTTGAATTGTCTTTTGGCAGCTACTGTATTTAATAAACTAACTCTGAGCAATTTTGTGACACCTAAATATGTTGTAAACTCTTCTCCTGATCTGGTGTAATTTTAAACCATAAATGATGGGATTGAAAAGAGGAGGGATGATTAGAAATTCTAGTGACATAACGTTACGGAGAGACAGGGGCATGTCACTTGTCCCATATCTACTGTACAGTCCATCAAAGAGCAAGGCAATGATGAAGTTGGTAAAGGTTAGAAGGTGTGGCAGACAGGTGTTCAAAAATTTAATTTGGTTTTTCTGAGATCTTCTGCAGGCAGCAATTATATGCACGTAGGAATAAAAGACATAAATCACAGGTGCAAAAAACATTAAAATATGAATATATCCATACACAAGATTATATGTAGTTGGTATGCAGGACAGTTTCACCACTGACCAATTGTCACAATAAAGTTTTTCAATGTGATATCCACACAAAGGTAACCTGATAGTCAATACAATTGAAATTATCATAGAGCAAAGAGGACAAATCCAAGCAAAAGGAATTAATTTACCAATTAGAAGAGGAGTCATAACTGAATTATACTGTAAAGGCATACATATTGCTACATAACGGTCATAAGCCATTACAGTTAAGTTAGCTTTTTCACATAAACGAGAGGAGTAAATCACAAAGACTTGAATCAAGCATCCACTGTATGAGATCACATGAGAGTCCGAGAGAAAGTCAGCCAACAGTTTTGGATAGAAACCAGCAGTTCCATACAGTCCATTAACACATAAATTGCAAACAAAGATATACAATGGTTGATGTAGAGATTTCTCCAGAAGGATGGTCACAATAAGTGTCAAATTAACAAAAGTGATAGAAAGATAGACCAACAAAGTGAAAGAAAAAAATATATATTTATTTGTTCTTGTAGTGTTCAGTCCTGAGAGTCTTAACATTGGATAATAAGATAGGTTGTCCATTAATGGCAATTGAAATTTCTTCCTGATTAAGCCTAGAAATAAAAAGAACAAATAAAATACCACAAATATCTCATTGCATTTTATTCAAAAGCAACATTAATATTAAATGTAAACATTATAGAATATAAACATTTTATAAAAGTTTGATATTGTTGTATGCATAATGTTATAGTTTTCATTAAATTAATTTGTGTTTAGTTCCCCTGTACACCTTCTCCTTATTTAGTGTGAAAGTGGTTTTCAGGTAGTTTTATTTTTATATTTCTCTGTGCCCCAAACACAATAGCTTTTATACATGCTGTACAGTACATATTACTTTAGGATCTGGTTTTTATACAAAACTTTTCCCAAATATATTAAGAAAAATATTTCACACACTGGAAATACATGTAAAATCTGACATACTTGTGAGCAAAATGAACCATCAAAAGTGCTATTCAAAAACTCCACAACATCATTAATATGACTATTTTCTCATTGTTTTCAATCTTAGTGTCTATAGTTAAAAGCTATATACTGTACATCAAATAATGTTAAAAAGAATAAAACGTTGCTGTATTGATTCGGTTCAGAGCTATTAATGTCTTGCTGTAATATACAGTAAATGCAATACTTTCTGTATATATAATCGTTTTACCTGATTATAGGCAGTGACTACAGTGACTCCTGTCTCGATCACCCTTTCATTTGCTGTCAGCTGTCAGGATGGCACAGCATCTCAGCCTTATCTTCTGCTTTTAAAATGAGGCTTATCGTTCATGATTTTAGAAACATCCCAAAAGATTTCAGGCTCATGCTCTGTTATAATGATGTGAGATAAGAATAATTCTTAAATCATTCCTGATCACCAATAGCAACAAGGCAACAGCAGTGGGATCTGTTGTGAAGCTGTTGTGATACCTTCCTGAAGTAACAAAAGAAAAGAGAAAAAACTCCTGAAGGACTAAATAAATCAAGAAAACAAGAGACAAAAAAAAATGTGTCTAAGATATTAACTTATTCGTACCAAAGTAATGAAAACCATTTTATGAATGTACATAACACTTGAATAAATGATTGATGAATAAATGGATAAGTACAACCTTGAATCATTAAAGATTTCTATTTTTTTGTCTTTTACATACACCATATTTCTCATGTCTTAAAAGAATGATATTGTATTCGGACATCCTCCTGAGATCAGCAGTCTATGGTGAAAGAGTTTTAGTGAACTACCTTTTTTTTCTGGTGACTGGACTTATGCTGTTCTTCAGTCTAATAAGTGTTGAAGGTGATCAGGCCTCTTCTTCTGAGTCACTTCTCTTATTTCTCAGACTTGGCCAAACTTATTCGATTGAAATTCTCTATAGACTGACTCTCTCTTCAAAACAATCTTTATACATGAAAAACATGAGACACACTTGGCAGGTGTGACTGAATTCCACATGCAATAGCTCTGGTTTGCAATCTCACCTGGACCTCTTAGACCTGAGTCTGAACCTGAACCCTTCCTTCTGTCTGTAGAGCTTGTCTGGGATCCTGTTCTTCAGATGGTTTTTATTCCATCTCGTGGCCAAAATGTGGGTTCTTTACATCAGTGGTGACTTTAAAGCTCTCTAGGATCCTAGAGACTGAAAGATATTATAGATATATAAGGAACTATAGTTTCTTATTCTATTTTTTATTAATAAAAGTGAGCTGAGTGAGTTTACGGTTTTTAGAGAAACCAGCATTGTAAACTGTTGGCTACATTTTGGAAGGCAAAGGGTAGTGAGACAGGCCCAGGACTATCTTTGTAATTAAACTTAAACTGAGGTGGTTACAGAATGAGGACTTTCAGGTTAATTTTCAGGCAATTTGTTTTAAGCCCTCCACACGAGGTGCACTTTTACCCAACGAGGTCCAGGTGGAACAATGCCTGATCAGGTCACCTTTAAAAAGGCCTTAATTCAAAGCTTAGGTCACTGCAAGAAAAAGGCCACATTCCATTCTATAATGACTCAAATGTCACCTGAAGCAATGGAAAGGGCCATTGGCATGCTTCTGGCAGGCATGTCATGTGCCAGCGTTGCCAGATATTATGGATTGAGCTGCTTCACAGTGTCCCGACTGCAGAGAAGATTCCAGCAGACCGTCAGGACAGATGACCGTCCAAGATCCAGTCGCCCTCGAGTGACCACACCAGAGCAGGACATACACATCAGACTAGTCCATCTGAGAGATCTATCTGCCACCCATACTGTTGCTGAAACTGCCTGCAGACACAATGCCCGCATCAGCGACAGGACAGTGAGGCTCCATGCTGCTGGCCTTAGAGCAAGGCGACCTGTCAGAGGCCCTCTGCTCACACCTCCTAGACGTCACACCCGACTGGCTTGGGCCAGACAGAGGCTGCGATGGATTCGTCAGCAGTGGCATCAGGCCCTCTTCATGGATGAGTCGCTCTTCAGCCTGTTCCACGCAGACGGGAGGGCCAGAGTGTGGAGGAGGAGGTGTTGCGTTTCTTTTCTCCATCAGTATACTGTATATATGCTTTGAAAATTGGATTGTCTGTGACTTACGATTTTGTAAAGTTTTCACTTATACATAAATAGAGGAGCGCTGTATGAAAACTAATGGAATTGCACAGATGATTGAGATCTATCTAAGAAATGATCAGTTACTGAATTTTCTGCAGATTTATGTGAAATGTGAAAAATAAGCATTCTAAGACTAAAATCTAATCAGATTTCACTGATCATAAAATTCAAATACAGGTACGGTAGATCTTGATTAACACATTCCTGAAATGTTATGTATCTTAAAAACACATACATTAAAAATTAATTTTACATAAGAATACAGTACTTATAAATGGGTTCCCAAATAAAACAATTACACATATTTATTTATGTTTATATTTATATAATATATATATATAGTACTGTTTATATTGTTGTGTAAAAAGTAATTTTAAATACATGAATGTTCAGATATTTAAATAAAATATCAAATATGACAGGAGAAACACACACACATTGCAGGCACATTTTGATTACTTTCTACTTTCTTCTGTAGACTAACCTCCAAGGTTTCTGTGAAATTATGATTATAGCTTACGAGGTATAAGAAACAGAGTGGGTCCAATATCTGAACACCAAGGCATTGTTTTTTCAGATTTATCAGATCGTAATAAAGAATGTTTAGGGAGCTCCAAATTGCATAGGTCAGAAGAGGACAAGTTGCTTGCAAAGTGATGCCTTCAGCTGCCAGAGACAGGAATTAGTCAACTATTGGTACACAAAACGATGAGCACCACTGTGTTTGTTTGATATGTATTTTCTTTGGATTCATTTTAATGGAGTTTTGTAGGAATACAGAAGCTAGGATATGCCTTACACTTTCAGATAAGCCAGGCAGATATTCAGATAGACACCAGGAGAAGGCTCCACGGCCAAAACGTGGTGTTTTCTTTCTTCTTTTTTTCATCATGGAATAAACCTATTACTTGATACTTTCAGATATATCTATAGTTCACAACCAGTAACAACACCCAGGAATTAAATATATTGATAAAAAAACATCTGAGTGTTTAATTAGTAAACACTCAACCTGACAGGCCAAAGGAGATGGAGGCCTGGACCCACCTGCAAACAGAGGACTGACCAAGGGACAACTACAAAGGTGGGGCTGGGGGGCAGGGGAGATGCCAGGATGAGCATGAAGGAGAAGAGGGGGTTACATAAAGTATTTATAGTTTAGATAGATAGATAAGACTTTATTGATCCCGAAGGGAAATTGATGTGTTACAGCAGTGCAGCCCAAGACAAACAAAAACAGACATCAGAATAGATGAAAAACTATACAAAATAAATATAAAATAAATACATAAATACATAGGTGTTTGCAAAATATGATGATCATAGTCACTGTAAGAACAATAAAATACGTGCAAAATGTGCATAGGTTTATACAGATTGATTGTCCAAAAAGTACAATGGAGCAACATGCTGTCCATAGACGAGCATAATACACCCTGACAGCCTGCAGGGAGGAGAGACCTGCGGAAACCTTCCCTTGAACACCGTAGCTGGAGCAGTCTGTTGCTTAAAGTGCTCCGCTGCCCAGTAACTGATCTAACTGACGTCAAGAATGATTGTGATTTATGGCAGCTGAGGCTGATTAATCTTGGTTGCAGTAATGCCTCCTGAAAGTTCATTGTAAACTCCCTAAAAAAGGTAAAAAAATAAAACATAAACTACCTACCCACAGTACCTATTTGAAAGCACATTTATAATCCCGAAAGGGCTATAACATGTTTTCCCCCGCTTCCTTCGTGCACAGCGTCTCTGTGTTTCTTGCACAGTGTCCTCATCATCCGTGTGCGGATGTGAGTCAATTTTAAACCGTAAACCAAGGGGTTGAAAAGTGGAGGGATGAGGAGAAATTCCAGGGCCAGGAAATTGCGGAGGCTCTGCGGGAAATCCTTTGATCCGTATCGACTGTACATGGTATCGAACAGTAAAGCAATGGTGAAGTTGATCAGGGTGAACAAATGTGGAACACAAGTTTGCATAAATTTACCTCGGCCTTTGCTGGATGTTCTGCATGTAATAATAAGTTTCATATAAGAATAAAGAATAAAAAACACATGTCCCATAAACACTAATATTACAAAATACCCGTACACGTTATTTAATGTGGTGGGTCCGCAAGAAAGCCTCACAATGGACCAGTTCTCACAGTACAGTTTTTCAATGTGGGATCCACATAAAGGCAGCCTTGCTGACAATGAGATCAAACCCGAAATACAAGACAAAGGAAGAAGCCAGGACAACAAGATCAATTTACCCACATTCTTATTTGTCATGATGGAGTGATAATCTAACGGCCTGCATATGGCTACATACCTGTCATAAGCCATCACTGTCAAAGTCGAAAAATCACAGAGAACTGAAGAGTAGATTACAAACACCTGACTAAAGCACCCAGCATATGAGATCACATGAGTGTCAGAGAGAATGTCAGCCAGGAATTTCGGATAAAAACCAGCTGTGCCGTACAGTCCATTAAAACTCAGATTACAGAGGAAGATATACATTGGTTCATGTAGGGTTCTCTCTAGTAGGATTGTCACCATTAACGTCACATTGACAAAAATAATTGAAAAATAACCTAAAAGTGTCAAGGAAAAGTATACATATTTATTTTCTTTTGTTTCATTTAACCCCGAAAGAGTAAACATTACGATAAGAGATGAATTTTCCATTCTTATTGTGGGTAGAAAATGTAAATAAATAATTTATTCTGTGTACAGTTTCAAAAAAACTTTGTCTTTGGAATCTTTTACAGGACAGACTGAGTCAAAACCCTCCCATTCCTCTTACAGCACAAAGTGCAGGATCTGAGGACACAAACAGAGAAGAAGCAGACATCAACACAGACATGACAATCTTATTCAGCTCTTTATACTGTAGAAGGACCGTGGTACAGGTATCTTGCTAATTCATTTAAAAGCTAAGCTCAAGAACACAAAGTACAGTATATATAACATCTGGAAAATTAAAGAAGCAGCAGAATTAGATTATATTTACATGTTTTATGGGTTAGAAACTGGATCTGTAGATATCAAAATAAATATGATCATGGTTTTCACACAATGAAATAAAAGTCATATTTTAATCTGTTTGACTGTTCACCTTAGGGAAGAGGTGATTACTGTACATTGTTTTGGAATCAAAGAATTTTACAACTCCAGATAAGAGGTTTTGAAAAGGGCAAACCCTGATTTGGAACCCTGATCCTGACTTAATACATAAACTCTCTTATCCTGTAATATGGTTACAAAACTCCTCAGTATTTAATTGAAATGTCATTTAATATTTCGGAAATATAATTCTGATTCTCTTTATGCTAAAGAGCTCATGTCATATTTAATCTAACATCATGAATATCAGTCACTTATTTCACAATTTTTCTCACTAAGATGAAAACTATATGAATTGTTTTGCTCACTAAGCACACAGTTTCATACACTACTGTATATATGATGCTTACAAGTAATTGGCATTATTTCAACACAGTCAGAGCCATCTTTAAAAATCTTTCCTGTTGTACTTGTTTTGTCTCCTACTATTAAAATATTAACTGATTGCATGAATTAAGACTGAAACAACACCGATTATACAAAGTGTGAGAGTATTAAAATGCAAAGTCCACCCTCCAGAGAAACACTGAGAAATTATAACCCTTTGTAATTCTGAATATTTTGTGTATGCAAAGTGTGTGCAGTGTATGGCATTAACAAGAATGTTTATATCATATAAAAAATCTAACATACTGTACTGTAGTTTACATTAAACATATTGCATGAGATTATTTGATGTGCACAATATTCAACATGCTGCACATCATTCTTCTACCTTAAAAATGTCCACTATTGTTTTACTGTATATTAAAATAATTGACACTTTCCTAAAGATACAGGACTCCTGATACAGGTTTAACTCATCTACCCTGTAGTAAGCTACAAGATATCATCTCTAGTTTTAAGTTCTCAATACTGTATTGTCAATAGAACTCATTTAGTTCTCTAGTGTCCTCTAACAAAGCAATTTCTTTCTAAATTACCTTTTTTCCATGTTGCTCAGCAGAAAACTCTTTTGGAATCCCGTACCTCTGTTTGGAAGAAAGTATTCTTATATGTCTCTTCACTGGGGGTGACTTGTTTTTTCTGTAGGAAATATCCAGGGAGATTGCTTTGGTCTCTTAGATCTTAACTCACGAGTTATAAATGGGAAGAGTTATCCATAGGGAACATTCTGATATGATTTTCTGTGCAGTATACAGTGGTGTGAAAAAGTATTTGCCCCTGATTTCTTATTTTTTTTGCATGTTTGTCACACTGAAATGTTTCAGATCATCAAACAAATTGAAATATTAGACAAAGATAACACAAGTAAACACAAAATGCAGTTTTTAATTGAAGGTTTTTTTTATTAAGGGAAAAAAAAAATCCAAACCTACATGGCCCTGTGTGAAAAAGTAATTGCTCCCTAAACCTAATAACTGGTTGGGCCACCCTTAGCAGTAACAGCTGCAATCAAGCATTTGCGATAACTGGCAATGAGTCTTTTACACCGCTGTGGAGGAATTTTGGCCCACTAATCTTTGCAGAATTGTTGTAATTCAGCCACATTGGAGGGTTTTCGAGCCTTAACCGCTTTTTTAAGGTCATAACCCTTTACTGTTGGTATGATGTTCCTTTTCTGAAATGCTGTGTTACTTTTACGCCAGATGTAATGGGACACACACCTTCCAAAAAGTTCAACTTTTGTCTCGTCAGTCCACAGAGTATTTTCCCAAAAGGCTTGGGGATCATCAAGATGTTTTCTGGCAAAGCTGAGACGAGCCTTTATGTTCTTTTTGCTCAGCAGTGGTTTTCGTCTTTGAACTCTGCCATACAGGCCATTTTTGCCCAGTCTCTTTCTTATTGTGGAGTCATGAACACTGACCTTAACTGAGGCAAGCGAAGCCTGCAGTTCTTTGGATGTTGTTGTGGGTTTTTTTGTGACCTCTTGGATGAGTCGTCGCTGCGCTCTTGGGGTAATTTTGGTAGGCCGGCCACTCCTGGGAAGGTTCACCACTGTTCCATGTTTTCGCCATTTGTGGATAATGGCTCTCACTGTGGTTTGCTGGAGTCCCAAAGCTTTAAAAATGGCTGTATAACCTTTTCCAGACTGATAAATCTCAATTACTCTGTTTCTCATTTGTTCCTGAATTTCTTTGGAACGCAGCATGATGTCTAGCTTTTGAGGATCTTTTGGTCTACTTCACTTTGTCAGGCAGGTCCTATTTAAGTGATTTCTTGATTGAGAACAGGTATGGCAGTAATCAGGCCTGGGTGTGGCTAGAGAAATTGAACTCAGTTTTCCAAAGATGTGATAAACCACAGTTGATTTATGTTTTAACGGGGGGGCAATCACTTTTTCACACAGGGTCATGTAGGTTTGGATTTTTTTTCCCTTCATTTAAAAACTGCATTTTGTGTTAACTTGTGTTATCTTTGTCTCATATTTCAATTTGTTTGATGATCTGAAACATTTCAGTGTGACAAACATGCAAAAAAAAAAAGAAATCAGGAAGGGGGCAAACACTTTTTCACACCACTGTATGTGTACAGTAAATGCACACTATATCCCAAGACATGACATAGGTCAATTAAAACAAAAGAATTAAATTGTGAGACCTTGCATCTTAGATTTTTTTCATAACTAAATAGCTTCTCCTGCAACTAAGCCCAATGTATATCTTTTGAACGTGGCAATTAATGTTGGATTTTCTATTGTGAAAACGCTAGAAGATCCATTTGGACTTTTATTTTCTACTCTCAATAGCAGGACCATTTCCCTTAAAATGGGCCAAATCCCTTCAAATCAATTCCTCTGGCTGTGAGGTTCTCACCCTTTCACTTACTCGCCCATGTCTACAAGAAATGTTTAAACTCTTGGTGATGACTCTGATCACATTAGTCTGCACATGTTTCGGGATCTGAAGAAGACTTAATTTCTCCCTTGGCTTACATATTTAATGGATTCTGTACTCAGCCCTTCATGGCTTGGGAGTACCACTAGAAACTGCCCCCCCCCACCACCACCAATGATTACAGATCCATCTCTCACCCCAATCCCATACCTAGCACTAGAATTACTAAGATCAGTAATTCTTTCTTAGATCTTCAGACAACTCTCAGACTTTCTGCATTCATTCATCTTTATCGCTGAATGGCAATCAAGGTGACATCTAGAAGCATCTATAAAAGTTTTAAGGAATTGTGAAATTACCAGATCACTGAAAACATTACTGGAATAAAATTAGATGATTTATTTTCAACATGTTAACAGGGCATTCATATATTTGAACACTGGATTGTATAATTAAAATTACAGTCTGAAGAGAATTTACAGTTAAGCTGTTAATGCACAAAGTATTACTTTAAAAAAATCAGCAAATTCTCTTTCACAATGAAAATCAGATGGACATTTGCTGGAGCAATTTCAATTAAGTACCTTACTCAAGTGTACAACTGTCATTCCTGTGTGGATCATTTTAGGCAGTGATTTTCAAGTTGCAAATTTTTGCCGAACATATACTGTAAGTTTGCTATTGAATAAAGATTTTTTTATTTCCAAGCAAATGCATGATTCTTTTTCGAATCTCTGGCAAGTTAAGGCCATAAATGAGGGGATTTAGAAATGGGGGAATTATGATAAACTCCAGTGACAACATGACAGCCACTGTCGTGAGCATATCTTTAGTCTCAAATCGATTTAAAGTTACCTCAGATAAGATAGTTATTGAATAGTTCACCAGTGTTACTAAATGTGGGAGGCAAGTTTGCAAAGATTTCTTTTTGAATGCCTTGGAGCTTTTTTGACAAACAATAAGAATTTTCATGTACGAATACAAAATGAAACACAGGGGTAGAAATAAACCTGTGGATGAAATGAAAAAACCTACAGCATTGTTAAGAGTTGTGTTGACACAGGACAGCTTCACTATAGACCAGTTAGAGCAATATAATCTTTCTATCTGATTTCCACACAAGGGCAGCCTGGCTGACAACATAATAAGCAGACCCATGCAAAACACTGAACAGAGCCAGGAAACAGCTATCAGAACAGAAATGTGCCTGGGGGTCATTATGATGTTGTACTGCAGAGGTTCTGTTATTGCAACATACCTGTCATAGGCCATCACTGTTAAAAAGGATAATTCTGAAATTGCATAGCTGTAGATGATGAATGCCTGAGTGAAGCAGGCAGCACGAGTGATGGTGTGAGTGTCTGACAGAAGATCTGCTAAGAATCTTGGGAAGAAGCCAGCAGTTCCGTACAGTGAATTAACAGATAGTCCACACAAAAATATGTACATGGGCTCATGCAGGTGCTTCTCTAGGAATATTATGAGCACAAGAATTAAATTCAATAATATTATGATGCAGTACCCTAAAAGTGCCAAGAAAAAAAAGAAATATCTAGAATGACCCATGTCTCCAAAAAAGGAAAGACAGAAGGCTGTTGCGACAGTTTCATTTCCCATTCTTCCTCTGGGTAGTGGCTTTGCAACGTTTTAGTATACCTGAAAGTGAAGAAAAGTTATTTTGTGCAAACGTAACAATCTAACTTGACAATGACTCTATACACATGTTCAACAAAAGGCATTGCAGCTTTACACAATGCGATCAATTTTATTCAATGTCATTGCATTACAATTCTGTATTTTTGTTATACTGTATACAGTATATTAACAATCCTTATATCAGTTATCCAAGTGCTTATTATGAAGTGCTTGACAAAAAATCTTTAACTCTATTTACTCCTTTACATAACAATAAGATACAGACTAACCAACGTATTTAGTGAAGAGCAAAATAAAAATAGCACTAGATATTGTTCAATGGTTGATACAGTAGGTGTTTTTTGACCACGTGGGTCAAAACTATAAATCTGAGGTCTTGCTGTCACTAGGGTTCTCCTGACTGGAGCCCAGAAGAGTGTCTGTGGAATCAACTCACCAAACTCATCAATGTGATCAGCAGCAGAGATGGAGCAGGAACGGCCTATATCCAGAGGCTGATTAGATCTCTGTGTCAACTCTGCCAGGATTGTGTTAACAGTTAGGGAGGTCAACCTCTAAGATACCCATGTTTTCATTTTGAATGTGTGTTTTCAGTGTTTCTGCATATTGTTCACTTTCTGTGATTTTGATATCTAGATTTTAAAAGACTTGATTAAAGCTACAACAACTGAGGTTCCATCATGCCTTGGTATAATCATGCCCAAGGATATCTGAGAGTCACCTTCTCTAAACTCCTTCAAATCCAGACTCAAAACCATCTTCTTTAGAAAAGCCTTTACTTAACTGGTTCCATTCTTCACCCCTCTGCTTTTCTTAGTACCACCATCCATGGTCTCCTCTGTATATTGTAATTGTGTTTTATCTTGTGTATTCTTTTTATTTATTGTTGTTGTCATTCTGTAAAGCATTTTAAGAAGCCACCTTTAAAAGCTCTATATAAAATAAAGTTTATTATTATTATAATTGCTATCCTGAGTCAGAACACCAAAGCTGTGCTGACTTCAAATTTGGATTCCTACAGTAGGTTCAGATGCTACAATTCTCACACCAGCCCGGTGTGGCAGAGTCTTTATGGCTCAATAACATGACTGTCTTCATGAAAAGAAACCTGCAGCACTGCAGCGTTCCGTGTTTCATGAATGAATGGGTAAATTCATACATATCGTTGGAAGAAATAAACTTTCCCCAAATACCTCTGGTACAAGGTTTAAACATACAAATCTTCCAAGGTCTTTAAAAAAATGTGCATTAGCAACATCAACTGAGTTGACAGAAAGTAAATATGCATGCACAATTACAGTATTTGTTTTACAACAGGCACATTAGAAACCATATATCTTTAATTATTAATAAAATACCGTTTTATCATATTACAGTAGAATTTGTTTTAATTTGTGCTGTAAACTGCTAATAATGTGTAGGTTACAAAAAACAAAAAAATCTATAGTTAAGGCAGGTTTTCTTTTAATTCTCCAGGCACAGACACAATTCAAATTAAAATGACCTGTTCTTCAGTGACTTTCGTTAGTACGTACCTTCACGACACTTGCTGTAGGGTCACAAAGAATGTTTATTCCTCTGTATAATGACAGGTTATTTTATAGATACAGAATGGTCTCAGGTGAGATTTCTATTCAAGGGATAATCTACCTTTACTAATTAATCATTGAAAAACACAACAGTGTCTGAATGTCACAAGATGGTGTTGTTTTAAACAGACTGCAATAATACAATTATTTCTGAAAAGGATTAGCCAGCAGAGCAGAGCTGACTTGCCTCTACAAATTAATCAATAGTAATTAATATGATACAATACCCCGAAAGTGTAAAGGAAAAAATGGCTTTTGTGGATTTATATTTTAGACCAGGTTATAGGTTTGCATTTTGTTCACAGTGTGAAAGGGAAGGGAAGCTTTTGTTTTACATGAAACAATTTAAAGGAAAGTTTAATAAAATTGTTTTGAAAGTTTCATTTTACTCAAGGTAGTATATATTTTTTTGTTTTGTAATTAGCTGTGTTTATTTTATTATATTTAACAAAATACACAAGAAACTAGTGTTGAAAAACATTTCTTTACTCTACCAAGTGTGAAGTGGAAATTCATTTTTACAGACACTGTACCTATGGATACCACACATTTATAATGAAATTGATTGCAGTACAAGACCTCAGCTGATGGTGCCTATATCAATAGCTGTATTGTTAATTAGGGAATCTGTTCCATTTACCCTGAAACTGGATCAATACTAATGCAATCAGTTGTTTTATATTCATAATTCATTTAGGAGAATCCATAGCGTTTTGTTTTCAATATTAAATATAATATTAAAGAGTGTTTGTGTCAATCAATTGCAAAAAATAGGAGTGAAATACTGAAAATTATCATTCAATATTACAGTATAACATTTCAAAAACATTTCAAGGAGGGGGGGTGTATACTTTTCATTACCACTGTAACCTTTCTTGGAGTCTTATGTATCTCATCTGATTCTGAAACCAAACATGAAAATAATAATGTACAAGTTGAGCAATTTTCATATTTGTTTATTCTGAATTCATCTGAAGCACACTTGCATATCAAAGTAACACAATTTACTAAACCATCTTAAGATGTCTCTGCGAGGAGGAAAAGAGTAAAGAATAGTAACACAAAACCCAAAGAAAGACACAGCAGAACAGGATGAAGATGTCTGTCTGCAATGAGCATGGAATGGAACTCCTCATCCTGATCCATTGTGTCTCATGTTTTCATTTCAGTTCCGTTCCTAATGACCTCATCCAGTTTGTGATTGACTTCATTGGACGAACTGATGAATTTTTCCAAACGTGTCAAATGCTGCTGCTTTGAAGAGACTATCCTTGCCTATCCCTAGTGTGTGGAGAACACATTTTTTTATTTATTGTTTTTCTTGATTGATGGCAAAAACATAATGTCTATATGATGTGTGTACAGTACATACAGTATAGCAAGGAAAACTCATTAAGAACAAGCGGTCAAATTTCTATGAGCTTTCACTGCAAGGAAAAAAGGTTTTTAATATTTCCTCTTGAAAATAATTACCTCCTTTCATCCTGCCACACAAATTGTATAGAATCAAACCTACAGTTTTATGTGGCATTTAATACTTAATGGAGTACAGTATGTAAAAATATTATTTTAACGTTTATTTGTGTTTCATGGAGATAAATTCAAAATAATATTGATTTTAGTATTACAAATGTACAGTTTTGGGTTCTCTTTCAAGGGATCCAATTTTTAATGAGGAAAAATCATGTTACATTGACCCAAAGAAAATATATATAAAAGGTAAATGTGCTTCTAGTCCCAAATGTTGTTTTCAGATAATGTTCATGAGGGGTCATGTACTGATTAAATATTGCTTCAAGCAAATCAGCTTTAGTCAGCAGTTATATCACCCTGCAACCCAAATCAGCTGGCAGCCCACTGAAGCTCAGTAGGTGGGAGCCTGGTCAGTACTGTACCTGGATGCGAGACCTCCTGGGAAAAACTAAGGTTGCTGCTGGAAGAGGTGTTAGTGGGACCAGTAGGGGGTGCTCACCCTGTGGTCTGTGTGGGTCCCTATACCCCAGTATAGTGACGGGGACACTATACTGTAAAAAAGGCACCATCTTTCAGATAAGACTTTAAATCGAGGTCCTCTCTGTCAGTGGTCATTAAAAGTCATTTATTGGCTAAAAGTTTTGCAATATACTAATATTTTAAAGATATTTTATACAAGAGTTCCTGTTATAGAGTAACATCTTAGTCCGTGTTATACTACAAATGGATGCCAAGAGTATACAGTATTTTGACACTGATATTGTAAGTAGCACAAAAAGTTAGCTTGTTTATACCACTTATAATGAATGCATAAAGTTGTTTACTTACTCTGCATCTCACAGGAATGCCACACTAACTAATACCTTACAGAGTATGGTAAAGTAACATTCATCCTCATTTTATTTTTTCTAATAAAGATTATTCTTCTCCTTATCTCTGGAAGATTCAGTCCATACATGAGGGGATTCAAGATAGGTGGTATGATTAAAAACTCTAAAGACAAGATAACAGCCACGGCACGAGGCACAGAGTCTAAGCGGATCAGAATTATCTCAGAAATGATAGTTATTGAATAGTTGACAAATGTAAGTAAGTGAGGGAGGCAAGTCTTCAGAGCTTTGCTCTTAAATTCGCTAGAACGTTTTTGACAGATCAGGAGTATTCTTATGTAGGAATACAGAATAAAACAGCAGGGCAGAAACACTGTGAAGGCTGTGAAGCAAATCCCAAACACATCCTTCAGGGCATTTGCATCACAGGACAGCCGTATGAGTGACCAGTTAGCACAATACAGTCTGTTGATTTCATGCCCACAAAAAGCCTTCCTGGCAGAGCAGGAGACAGCTACAACCATGTAGCTGAGGGGATAAAGCAACGCAGCCATTACAAGGATCAATACAGTCCGAGGCCCCATGATGCTGTTGTACTGCAAAGGTTTGCATATAGCTACATACCTGTCGTAAGCCATTACGGTTATAAAGGTAAATTCGGCGCCTGCATAGCTGTAGATGATGAATGCTTGAGTGAAGCATGCAGCTCGGGTGATGGTGTGAGTGTCTGACAGGAGATCAGCCAAAAATCTTGGGAAGAAGCCAGCAGTTCCGTACAGGGAATTAACAGATAGTCCACACAGAAACACGTACATGGGCTCGTGCAAGTTTCTTTCCAGCAATATAACTAAAATAAGTGTTAAATTAATAGAAATTATGGACAGGTAGATAAGGAGTACCAAGACAAAATAAGCATATTTAACATTTTCCATTTCTCCAAACAAAGTAAGTAGAAACATTTCTGTGAAAGCTGGGTCTCCCATTGATTTTATGCTGTATTTCTGAAAGATATGAACAAAAAATAACATTATTAGTTCAACATGATACTGTATATTGGTATGGTCCTGTATATTTAATTTCACATACCTAAAAAATAAAGAAATCAGTAAAAGAAATACATCTGTGAATTGTTTTAAGATTTCGTGTTTTTAGAAATAATTTCACATTTCTAACATACAGCAACTAAAGAAGCACGAGCTGTACGTAAGAATTCAGTCCTATTCAAATTAACAAAGTGTTATTTTCTATAGCAAAAGCAAAATTTAAAGAAAAGAAAAAAGTAACAAAGCAGTGGTTATACCTTTGTTTTTCCTCTGTGTTATTCTTTTTCCTGTAGTCCTTTATAAAGAATCACCTGATTTTAAATAAACGTCAGAAAGCACCTGCAAAGAAGTCTTTGAAGATGCACAATCTTGTGTGATACTGTTTTATCTAGGTTTATATTCTACCTGCTCTGGGCTGCTCTGTTCTCAGCTGGGAGCTTGGCACTGACTAGGGAGAGTTTTCAAGTCACCTATGATTAAATGTAAACATTTCAGGAATTACAGTATACAGAGTTTAATTTATGTCAATCTGTCTGCTTAATCAAGAAAAAAAACATATACTTGAGTGAAGTATCTTTTGCAAGTAAGACTTAAAACAGATTTAAAACACTCCTCCACTTAAGTCTGTAAATGTTTACATAACTTTGTCATCTGTTAAATATTAAGTAATAATTGTCAATATTGCTTAATATATAACTACAAATAATGAGGAAAATGTAGTAAGATAGCATAAGATTTTACAGTACATTAACATTCATTTTACGCTAATTCTGTCAAGATGTTTATACACTAATAAAATTAATGTCATATTGTACAGTAAATGTTTTGGGAGTGGGGGTGCTTAAATAAACGAAGGTACAGTAAAATGTGCGATAGCCACCTTTCTTGGGAAACAAAGTATTAAATAATAATATTGCTGTTTAAGGAAAAATGTGTTCTTTGTTTAAGAACAAAAAAACAAAAAATTAGGAGTTAGTTAAAAGACATATTGCTAATTACAGCAATAGTTTAAAAACCAATTAACTATAATTTACAAAGCTGTACAACAGGTGTAAGAACTTGGGCCCAGCCTTGTACAGGACCACACCATTACAGTACAATACACTCTGGTTTGACAGTGACTTACAGGAAACTTCCTAATTCATCAGGCTTTTCTTTTTTCTCTAGATCTCCCCCTGACCTCACAATCTTGCCTTCTTACAGTATATAAGCGTGCCGGAGGTCCACAGCAGATGGCGATAAGGACTCCAGCAAATATCAAGCAAATACCAAGGATAGAGAAAGACAGGCAAGATAATACCAGCAGAGAGGGGTAAACGCTGACCTCAACATTACACCATGAAGTCTTGTGAGATTAATAGCCCAATAATCTTACTTCTCCACTAACTGAACAAATAGGTAGGAAGTTGTCAGGATACTGGTCTCCCCATTACCCCAGAAGGTTTTTAGATGTCACGAACAGTTCTTTCCGGGCCCTATGCAGACAACACGATCCGGAATTGTGAAGAAACACTGGGGGGAAAAAGTCATGCAGAAGAGGGTATGGAGACAGGGGGCGTGTCCAAGGGGTGCAGGTGTCCAGGGAGAGTGAGTCCGGGGCGAACAATCCATGAGAAAATCCAAGCGGGTATCCAAGACAGAAGGTAGAGTCCAAGGCCAGGGGATCCATCCAGGGAATAAAACCATGAACCGGGTCAGGACCGGCGGGGGCGGGGAATCAGGAACAGAAGGTTAAAAACATAACGGAGCCAGACGCAGCAGGACCCTGGGCTCTCACGAAGCGGGATTCAATGAGGAACCTCGAGTGACGTCTGCGTCTGGCTTTTAAGGGGGAAGGGAAATAGAGAACAGGTGCAGGTAATAGGAGAAAACGAGGAAGGGCTGGAGCGCCCTTAAGAGGAGGGGTTTGCGATCGTGACACTAGAGACCTGGAACAGGTTCAGATGACTTCACAAAATGTCTGGTCCCTTCACTGTCAATCAATGTCTTACAATGATTCCCGGTGCTGTTATTTTTATTTCTCCGTTTCCTCATCATAAACTCGACCACATGCTGCACAGTAAAGGAATTGATTTTAATAGGTTTAGAATCAATATGGAACTACCAGATGACTATAAACATTAATAGATTTAATATGCAGCACTTATTATCAACTGTTACATAGCATTAATAAATATAATATTGTGCTTTTAGAAATATAGAATATACTGTAAAGTATTTACAGTTATGCTGTTGATGTACTCAGAACTTCTATTAAAAAAAACTGTATGACATTTGATTCCTTTATTTTACTAGCTAAAACAACTGAGAACAAATCCATAGTGAAAACCTGGAGACCAATTTCAACAGCTGGGTGTTTACAGGAACAATAGAAGTGAAGTATCGTCCTTAAGTGAAAAACTCCAGCATCCCATCTGAGACTTGTACACCTGCATTCTCTGTTCTTACTCAGCTTACAATTCAAGTAGTTAATAAATTAATTTACAGTAGATGTTGTTCTGTTATATTAGTGCCTGTTAACCTGCTTACTGCATTGCAATGTAGATTCTACTTAGTGATACTTAAATCTGTTGCACAAATTCCAAAACATATAAGTTTGCTATTGAATCAAGATTTTTTTATTTCTAAACAAAAGTATAATTCTTTTTCGAATCTCTGGCAAGTTAAGACCATAAATGAGGGGATTTAGAAGTGGGGGTATTATGAGAAACTCCAGTGATAAGATGACAGGCACTATTTTGAGCATTTCTTTAGTCTCAAATCGATTTAGAATCACCTCAGATAAGACGGTTATTGAGTAGTTCACCAGTGATATTAAATGTGGGAGGCAAGTTTGCAAAGCTTTGTTTTTGAATTCCTTGGAGCTTTTTTGACAAACAATAAGAATTTTTATGTACGAATACAAAATAAAACACAGGGGTAGAACGGAACTGATACATGAAATGACAAAACCTACAGCATTGTTAAGAGTTGTGTTGACGCAGGACAGCTTCACTATAGACCAGTTAGAGCAATATAATCTTTCTATCTGATTTCCACACAAAGGCAACCTGGCTGAAAACATAATAATCAATCCCATGCAAAACACTGGATAGAGCCAGGCAACGGCCATCAGAACAGAAATGTGCCTGGGGGTCATTATGATGTTGTACTGCAGAGGTTCTGTTATTGCAACGTACCTGTCATAGGCCATCACTGTTAACATTGAAAATTCCGAAATTGCATAGCTGTAGATGATGAATGCCTGAGTGAAGCAGGCAGCACGAGTGATAGTTTGAGTGTCTGATAGAAGATCAGCTAAGAATCTTGGGAAGAAGCCAGCAGTTCCGTACAGTGAATTAACAGATAGTCCACACAAAAATATGTACATGGGCTCATGCAGGTTCTTCTCTAGGAATATTAATAAAGTAAGTGTTAAATTAATGACAATTATTGACAAGTAAACAAAGAGTGCCAAGGCGAAATATGCAAATCTAACATTTTCAATTTCTCCAAACAAAGTGAGTAGAAACGTTCCTGTGAGAGACAAATCCTCCATTGATTTTTCTGTTGCATTTCTGAAAGATAAATATTAAAAAAAACACTTGATTAATTCAACATTTTTTTTTCCATAGCAAAAGCAAATAGAAAAATACAAAGAAGAGAGAAAGTAAATAAAATAATCCCTGGGTTTACGTGAATGGTCAGATAGGTGTCTATTATAATAATTATTATCATTATGTCATTATTTTAGCAGTTGGTTTTTTGTAAAAGTTTAAATAATTACCTCATTTTAAGAAGACAGCAGTAAGCTCCTTGTAAAAGGTCTTTGAAGACGCTCAATTATGTGACATACTGTTTTATCCAAGTTTATATCCAAACTGCTCTGGACTGCTGTTCGCACCAGGGAGCTTGGCACTGACTAGGGAAAGCCTTCAAGTTTCATAATAATCCTCCATTTACTTTATATCAATCTGCCTGTTGAATCAAGTGAAAACCACATGCCTGAGGGAATCATCTTTCTCAGGCAAGACTAGCATCTTTAAAAACACTCCTGCCATTAAGTCTGTGAACTTTTGCAAAATGTTGTCATTAATGAAAAATAAACATTTAAATAAAAATATTTCTCCCCTTGCTTTAACAATTTTAAAGCAGCACAAACAATTTGTGGTAGCACAAACTTAATGTATATTTAAACATGTAACCAGCAGCCATATCACCCTGCAAGTCACAACTGACAAACCATTGAAACTAAACAGGTGTGAACCTGGTCAGCACCTGGATGGGAGACCTCCTGGAAAAAAGTAAGGTTTCTGCTGGAAGTGGTGCTAATGAGGGCAGTAGGGGGTGCTCACCCTGCAGGCTGTGAGGGTCCTAATGACCCGGTATAGTGATGGGGTAACTACACAGTAAAAAGGTGCCGTTTTTTAAACTGAAATGTAAAACCAAGGTCCTGACTTTCTGTGGCCATGAAAAAAGCCCTTTGGCATACACCAATCATGGCCTCCTAATAACCCCATCTATGAATCGGCTTCATCACTCTGTGTGTGGTGAGCATACTAATGCACTATGGCTGCTGTCACATCACTGATAGCTGGTGTGTGGTGGGTGTACTAGTGCACTATGGCTGCTGTCACATCATCCACTGATGATGGTGGAGGGGAGTCCCCATTACCTGTAAAGCAGTTTGTGGGGTGTCCAGAAAAGCACTATATAAGTGTAAGGAGTTATTAATCATTATTATTAACCTTCTTTTCATGCAAAACAAAATTGGGGTCATTTCAATGATGTCTTCTAGTGGTCATTCCATAGGTACTACAGTCACCCCAAGCCTGTCAATCACAGAGCCTATGTAATTTTTATATGTGCTTTATTCACTTGACAGTTGTTTTGACAAGTGGATTCTATTCTAAACTCTAGATTGATTTTATGTGAGAGATTGAAGTGATCTTTCAATATGGGTTAGTTATTCAAGATTTTTTTGCCTCTGCATTTCCACTTTTGCTTTTATTGACTGTTACATCAGGCTTAAAGATTCAGATGTATTCAGTAACAAGTTTGTGATCTGTGTAGTCTGCTGAGTTTTTTAGAATGTGGAACCATTAATCACTTCCCTCCATCCATTTCCGGGTCACAAAACATCTGGAGCCAGCAATGTGGCCATCGAAGAGCGGACACAAACACAGACACACACGTACTGATACAAGGCAAATGTTCCCATAAGCCAATTACCCCACCAGTATGTCTTTGGACTGTTGGGGGAAACTGGAGCACCCCGAGGAAACCCAGAAGAGCAGCGGGGGAACATGCTGGGATGAAACTGCAAGGGTCATACATCCATGGAAAAATAATAATTCCAACAACAGAACAATTCAAACCTCGGACACACAAGACTAATCATAGATAGATAGATAATACTTTATTAATCCCGTAGGGAAATTGATGATTATGATTATCATCAATTACAATCATAATATTGATTATTATGATTATCAACATAATTGATCATTATGTTGTGGCACTCAAAAGTATTCTGGGTTTACCAGACATGGACATTTTGCTCAGTAGAAATGACACCACTCAGGAGGTGGGGTAAATGCCCCCTGCTTTAATAGATCAGGAACAAATGCCCCACCCCCAGCTTTCCTAATCACATATCTACTAACCACCACATAGACCTCTGCAGTAGAATCTATGGAAAGGCAGTGGCTTCACTGTTGACCAGGTTACAAACACCAACCAGATGAGCAGTCTAAATAGGGAGATCTACTGTAGGGAACAGATGACCACAAAAAGGCAACATATGTGCATACAGCAATACATAGTTGTTCCCAGAAGCCCATCTTGGGGACAGGCTGCTAAATTATTGTCCTATCAATACCTGCAATAGCACCAGTGGTTGTCTTGATATGATATAACAGTGAATTGATACAGTAGCTATCGATCCATAAAAAACATTTTCATTTCTTTAGCCTTTATAGAGAAATAGAGATGTAGTTTGCCACAAGGAAATGACAAAAGTATTGTTATTATGATTTAATTGTATTTATAAAATCAGAAACATTTCTTATATAGGTTATTCTCTTAACTCGCAATATCTCTGCACCATCACATCATGATGTTTGACATTTATCATTCATGTGACACTATTGAAACATATACTGTTTATAGAAAATACATAAAAAAAGAACTCAGGTTATAAATAGAAAGTGGCAAAATGTAATAATTAATTAATAACTGCTTACACTTATATAGCACTTTTCTGGACAATCCACTCAAAGCGCTTTACAAGTACTGGGGACTCCCCTCCACCACCACCAATGAGCAACAAATCTACTGTACTTCCTGCACTTTTGATTTGTGACATGTTTAATATCAACCAACTTTATAATGGAACAAGCAAAGGTTTATTCCATGCAGAAAATAAAATAAACAGCGTTTCAGCGGTGGAGCCTTCTCTGGGTGTGACATATTACTTTCCATGCTACATTCCATCACGGTTTTATTTTATTGTTCTCTCAAGTAATCTCATACACAGGCCGTTTAGTTCATTTTCTGCAATCTTTGATTGGTGCATTTGAATTTACAGCACTAAAAACAAAAGATGAGAAAAATCGACTGTAGAACTCACATACTGTAGGACAAACTGACTCATCATTTTAAAAACAGTTATTTTTATCACTAAGAATTACTCTTCTATCAAATTTCTATCAAATGAAGCATTTCAATGAAACTCACTCTATATTTATACATAATGTTTTCCTTGCCTATTCAATGTGACTTTCCAGTTATACAATGTTTTTTGGTGCAGGATCAAATGCATTAATAAAAAATGCAAAAGAAAACTTCAATTGATGTTCAGTTCAGTGGATATTGCATTTTTTTTTCTATGTTATCAAGCACTGCTTGTGTTAACCTTTCATCGAATTACTTAATTGCTGCCATATGAGTCATGAAAGATGACTGCAGGTACTGTATTTAACTCTCTGTAACCAACAGCGGAAGGGCTACTTTACTAGAAAAACATGTTTTCAAAGCCTGTCCAGGATAAATCCCCACTGCTTTCTTCTTACCAGCAGCATGGTACAGTAGGTCAGACAGGTACTGTATATAATTGGTCTTTAGGGAGTGATGCATTGGAGTGTTTAATTGGCATTTGACAGCTTCTGCACAAATGCTCAATTAACAACTATAATGGATCTCTCAAAAATAGCTGTTAAATGCGACTTGCCTGCCATAATATCCAATTTATTCATTTGATTCTGCACTGCCAATGACTAGTTCATGTGGAATAATGACACCCCAGAATTAGATGTTTATTGAGTATTTAAGTATAGTGAACATTGACTTAACCCTCTGCTTAAATATAGTAGTTTCTATGGTTCAGTCAAAATCTAAATTTGAAACAAGCTGTCAAATATAAAAGGATAGCATGCTTAATACTTTGGCCTTCGCTTGTCTGGCTGAGGAAATGACAACAGTGGTCAGAGGGTCAGGGCTGTCACATCCTCCCAGAAGGAAGTCCAAGGTACCAAACAGTGAGCTAAAAGAGAACTGGTTCAGAGGCAGTTCCGTAGGAACTGAGTGGACTGTGTGCTCAACATAGAATTAATGAGAAGGGCAAATGATGAAGGGCTGTTGGAATACCCAGTGAATGATCAAGCTTGAGCTTACTTAAATGAGTAGATGTGGATGTGCCATGAGGAATGCTGATGAGAGGTGAATGAGAAGCACATATAATGTGGGTGACTGGACATGAGTTAGCAAACTAGTGGCAGCACTACCACTTTCTGTAACTGCTAGATGGAAATACGGCTGGCGTACAGTATGTGGGAGGAGGAAGAGTTGAGGGCCAACACTACACCAGGTGGACACCAACCAAGGGAGGGGGTATGGGGGGCCCATTGCTGTACCAATCTGGGCTGCCAGTTCCAGGGACAATGTGGGATGTGAACCAGAAGGCCAAGATCTGGAGCAGACTAATGCCATGCGTTTGCACCCATCTCTTGCTTACTCTGTGAAAAATACAGCCCATGACATATAATACCATGGAGGACCTTTAATACAATATGTAGGCCAGTTTGTTGCTGTACTTTATTTGATATAACACTTCTTCTAGATTTTATTTTTCTTTAATTACTTTCATTTGCTTTTATCCATTGCTTTGTCACATATTGTGTTGCTTTTTAATTGCGCTGTACTGTATATCGGACTGGTTATTTACATACGGCATACAATTTTAATATACTATACAGTACCTTCCTCCCTGTGCCTGATATGGTAAAGCATTACACAAAGCCCATTATTTTTTTTAAATAAGCAAGCTGGCAAAAAATTTAAGTTGTGTCAAGTATTAGCCTCCGTTGGGTCGGGGTCGACCATGGGTGTTGCACCCTAGTTATAGGTCACTCTGTAACTGGAACACATCAGGAGTGGCTGATGAGGCCAATGTGGGAGTGACAGTCTCTGCTGCAGTGGCTGATTCTGTGGGCAGTGTCTGTGTACCTGGTGGTACGGCACTCCTTTTGATAACCTCTTCTTTCTTCAGCCTGCCTTAGG